TCTGTCTCTGAAAGTGCTGGTAAACTGATTTATTTTGACCTTTCAAATAGAGCACAACCTGACCAAATAGTGTTATGTATACTAAGTGGAAAGATAACAAAGGCCTGTCTCTAAGATCAAATCTTGTCTTAGAACTTTAGTATGTGGAGAAATATTTCCTAAGCTACTGGTGCTGTTTACCTGAGTGTTCTTAAAGCAGTCGCTGGCAACCCTTTATTTTTAGAGTTGCTGTAGCTTTGGTGTGTCTTTCAGGAAGTAAATGGCTGAACATTTCTGTTTGACGTGCATTGTATGACTTCTGAAATGCTGCTCTCCAGGGACAGAGTATATAGGTTAGCAACTGAGAGCGAGAACTTCTTTCTAATTCTTTGTCTGCTAAGTTAGTTTGCCTATTTTAAAAGTAAGCTTTACCGTTAAAAAAAAAAAAAAAGCTCAATTACAGTGGCTGTTGATGTGGTATGGCTGGGCTGCATGCTCTAGTAAAACATGTTTCCTTTATTGACAGCCAAGTTAATGCTTCTGTCAGAACCACACTGTCATATGCTACCAGGATGCATGAGATCAGCCTTGGTGAAATTGTCTTAGACTGAGTTGTATGCAACAGGCAATATGACTTATTTCTGTCTCCCCAAGTCTCATAATTTGAAAAAAAAAATATCAAGCTTAACATGCATTAGGAATCAAATGCCCAACAACCTCACATAATGCACATGGCTGCCCATCCAAGAAACAACATTGTCTGGTTTATTCCAAAGATTATGTAGCCATTTTGTTTGTTTTGGTTGGGCTTTTTTCCTGATCATGATTTGTCCTCTCCTCCTCTGCACAGTGAGGGGGAAGCTTCACTTTCTGACAGCCATTCCCTTGGCTATCACAAAACCTTTGTAGGGACAAATTTGACAGGTAGGTTTTTAGCTGGGTGTGGAAGCAGTAAATGTTTTTACAGACGTAACTTAGAGCAGTTGTAATCCTCCAGTGTTTATCCAGCAAGCACTGCTGCCTGTTTAATAAATTATGTGAGATCCAGTGCTGGCACATCGTTTTCCATCATCTTCAGTCATCTGTGTTGAGACAGAAGAGCCCTGGTCATGAGACAGCTGGGCTTGGCTGATGCTCAGCACTAGTGTATCTAACTTTGCAGTAATACAAAGTCCCTTGTTCTCTGCTCTAACTAGAGTGCCAGTCAGACCTGTTTAACTATCACAGAGTTTTTGCTGCCTGTAAACTGTAGCCACAACATCATTCCAACAGCTGCCATTGGAATGAAGAGACTGGCATAAGACCTGCAGTTTTACAGGTACTGCATGGCTGTCCAGACACTGCATCATTAGTCTTACCATGTCTCTGAATAATGAACTAGCTGGGTCATTAAACTTTATTGTGTCCACTGTTTTCTATAAAGTTTCTCCCTGAGTAACTGTCTTTAATGGACTAGTTCTTAATTACACATGTATCTCTACAGAACTGTTGAAGCCAAGGATGCAGTGCAATTAAGAGGTTGAGTATTTGCATGGCTGACATGGTTTTCTGTCTTACAGAAGCTTTAAATCCTTTCTACAGGGGAGCAAAGCTGATGAGCTCATTCATTCCATAGTATGTCAGTATTTAACATGAAGTAGAGCAAAATTTTCCTTTGAGTGAATTACCCCATAACTTTATTCATCAAAAAGAAGCCATGGTTCCTGGAATCTCTATGATTCTATGATTCTATGTGTGAATGTTATCTTATCCTCACTAACCTTTCCTCCTTTGGGTTTTCATCATCTGTTTGGCTAGCTCAGCTGTTGCTTTGCTGGCATCTGATGACAGAAATGTGTGGGAGATTTATGAAACAAAATGTTTTGTCACATGCTTTGACATATTTTTGAGAAAGTTTTAAGAAGCACTGGAAATACAGGTGAAATTCTCAGGTGTCTCCTCAGAAGAGCAGTGTTACTGTAATGTAACTGCAGAGGACGTTGCACAGGTTGAATATTCTTTAGCTTGTTTTCCCTTGTTTGAATTTCAAACTAAGGAGCTAGAGAAATCTCAAATCTTTACTGGGATCAGAAAGAATTGTATTGTGAACTGCCAGAATGTGTGTCTAAGAAATTCAATAATACATGATATATAGGAACATTTAAAACATTTGAGTTGGGCTGGGTTTGTGCTGTTGCAAGAGCAGCCATCCAGAAGCTTGGAGTTCTTGAATCTATACTGCACATTGGCAAAATAATTCCCTTGGGAATTTTTAAGGAGCTGAAGGAGGGAGAGATGGAAAAGCTGAATTCCACGTACAGATTCAAGTGTTTTGTTTTGACATTGACAATTTGGAGAGGCTTTTACTTTATTTCTTGTCTCTTATATTATGGCCTTTATTTTTCCTTATGAGTCTTCAGTTTCTGAAGTACAGATAGATAAACTCTAGTGTTAAAGTAACTGTTAGAAACCCTTCCTAAGCACTCTGGCATTAATTATTTCCAGAATTTCAATGAAATGGGAAGACAACTTAATGAACTTGAATTTTGCATTAGCGATACTCTGCCTTGTATGCTTATCTATTATCTGTCCATCTGGCAGCTCACATGTTTGTTGGCAGAAGTGCTTTTATTTCCTTTCCTTGAAAAATTCTGGCATTCATTGTATAAACAAGCAGCACTTCTTTCTTCATTTGTAATCCAACATGAATTTTTTAATATTATTAGTTAATTAATATTAAATATGGTGAATTCTTGCTAGTGTGAGTGTAAGGCACCAAATAGAAGCATATGGAGTGGTACCACCTCCTCACAGCAAGGAGCTGGCAGATTGAGATCCATCTGCCTGCTGACACACGCACCAGTGCACGCCTCTGACTGTGTGGGGAGGTGGTGCAGGCTGCCAAGAGGAGCTGTCAGTGCTAGAGCAGCTAAAATCATGACATATTTTGGGGGGAGTGTGAGTGGCAGAATTGCTTTCGCCTCCCCAGCTCAATAAATGCTTTAAAAATGTACAGAATGTTTCTTTGAAAAGTGTTGTGGCTTCTGGTTGCAGAATCAATTTATGAACAGGAAACATACTGTGGACCCTGAGCTTCCCAGTGTGGTTATCTATAGCCTGTTGCTTTTTAGCTCAGTTCACTCACCTCTTTCCCCAGCTGTATACAGTCCCATAGAAACCCAAGATCCCCTGCTGGGGGAGAAGTTAAATTGCTCTCAACTCGGATTGCTCTGCTGTGCTTGTATATTGCAACCCAGGTAATGCATGTAGGAAAATACCTGGCAGTATCTACATATGTCAGAAATACCTGATGTTCACAGGCATAGAGCTGCAAGAAACTAGGCTGAGAAAACAACCCTGTTTCATAGAGACCTACTGGGCTTTTAAGTGTCCAGGTACATATCCATCAGGTAGCAACTCCATAGCATTTAAACAGATTGTCTAATTTCTTTTTTGGGGGGCTAGAAGTTTGTGGTGTGATCAGGCATTTAATACATTCCTGAAAGACATGTAGAGGCTTTCAGAATTAACTCGCTTGCTTAATGTTAACTCAAATTAAATATATTTTCAGAATTGGTCAGAGAAACATGGACCTTCTGAAGCCTTTTTCTCAGTATGAATAAAATTTGAAGTGGTGTTAGTTGAGCTGGTTTCAAATATCCTCACGAAAATTATTTTTTGTGAATAGTGTAGAGAAAAAAAAATCCACAGGCTTGTACAAGTTCTTTATGATAATTATAGAAAAAACCTTAAGCCTGGAATTCTACCACCTCACCGCCCGAAGTATGTAAATCTACCAGTTTAATTTTTACTTTGTCTGCAGAAAAGCATCTTGCACAAACTCTACAATAAGTTGAAACTTCTGTTTCTTGCATTTATTTTGTGATGCTTTGTGACCTCCTGCTGTGCAGAAGTGACACTAATTAAGGTAATCCATAGTGTGACTGGGGACGACTTGTCATAAGCATCAAACTGGTTAACTTGGCTGCATGTTGCTCATTTTTAACAGAAGTTTTATATTTATGGCATGCTGTTCACAGAGAAAACTGCTGAGAAATGTTGCTATTACAACTTTATCTTTGGTGTAAATGCATGGTCTTTTCCTCTTGTCATTTTTTAATTTCTAATGGTCTTATTACTTGGGGGTGAAACAGTTTCTCTCTCTGCTGCCAGAGTCAGCAACAGGAGAGACAATAAAATGGCAAGTTGTTAGCCTGGTGCTTCCTGCAAATGCTGTCCCTCCACCTTGGAGGTGAATTTTTTTATATATTAAGGCATTTGGACTCCCCCTCCTTTGTGAGTGTGCAGAGGAGCTTTCCGTCAGATACCCAAGCAATTTGGATTATTAGCTGTATCAAGATTGAAATAGTAAAATTTATCCTTTTTTTGGCCTTTGTATAGTTGGCATTAATTTTAATACTGGAAATTTTATTTTTGTTTTTAATACATTAACAAGTATCAAAGCATTTTGTGAAGGGATATCCTGACTAAAAAATCCATCCTGCTTTTCTTTTGCAATTTCATTTCCCCACAGAAAGCTAATTTGTCATCCGTAAAATAAATACTTTGTCAGAGAATGTATTTGCCCTGTTACTAATTCACTTGACTTATTTCTGATTTTATAGATTGCCCCCATATTGTGAAAATACTTCCCAATTTTACTTCTTGTCTCTAGTGAGTGAAAGAAACTGCTTTTTCTAATATGTGCTTTCCTATCAGAAATCAAATTTTCTGGATGGGCAATCAAAAAAGCTACGGCCAGTGTAGTGGTTGATAACAGTTTATTTCCTGTGAGGTGTATTGGCAGGCAGAGGATGGATCTGTAGCAACGTGGAGGTGACAGAAGGGAGCCAGTTTCTTTAGAAATGTTTCTGTAGAGATTGATAAAGTGAAATGCAGCTCTGGTTTATCTAAAAATCAAATTTATAAAATAATGTAACGTTTCTGCAAGATTATTTGCTTTCACTTTTCTGTATTTTTGTTGCTTTAGGAGTTGCTGATTGTCTTCAACTTTTTTCTTTTATTTCTTTTTTTGTTCTCAGTAAAACGCTTCAGAGAACCAAAGCATGAAAGACGTCCCTGGAGGATATGGTATGTTTCTACATGCTTTATTCTTAATTGTTTTGTTTCTTGTGTTGTAGAATTTTTGTTTGCATATGATGATTTAAAACAAAAAATCTTACAAGAAATTAGTGACTGAAAGTGAGGAACAAAAAGTTATCAAAATACATGAGTCAACAAAAAGTTATCTTCTATGTGTACCCTTGCTAGTACTGTCTTAATAAACACTTCCAGGAATCTCTACAAAGATGTGCATTTAGACATAAAGCTTCAGGTTGTGCTTCCTTCTGAAGATGGAAACTTAATCTTGCCCCAACATGCATCTGAACATCTACAAACTCACAGAAGCTTCAAGGAACTCTCCTCTGGGCTTAAACAAAATTCCGTGTTCTGTAGCTGTCCTGCTGCATGTAAGATAGAAAGCAGTATGGTAAAAGATATAAGTACATAAGCCATAAAAGAATATTTGTTTTCATTACTTTTTAAAATGTGCTGGTCTGTAACAATGCCAACATAACCTGTACTAGCTCTGAGACTGATGTGTGAGTTAAGTTGTCACTGAAGTGTTGACACTTCAGTGTTTTATTTCACCTCATACAATGCTGCCTTTCCTAACTAATACTGACCTTTATTTTATTGAAAAAAATAAATACCAAACCTTTGTGTATTACAGTCGACCTCAGCCTGAAGTTCTGAGTAGTGCAGTGATAGACCTTATTTTTTAAGCAAAGAATCTTTTCTGGGACTTGAGAATTGTTATTTATAGTGTGGTGTACTGATTAAATAAGAAACTCCCTGGCTTCCTGCCTCATCTCCAACACTGCTTTCTGTGTTGTGCAAGAGAGTAAAGTTTAAGACAGTTGTCAGAGAGGGGATATTAATTCAGGCATAACACGTCCTCTGGGTCTCCTGGTGTGTTTGGATCTTTTTAGGCATGGAAACAACAGCAAAAGGGGTATTGGTCTGTATAAAGAGCACACTCTTGCCTACAGAACACTTTTGACACTGTTCCTATATTTAACATTTAAAAGAACATCTGCTGGAAGCTTTGTTTTGTGCAAAGGATGATGATCAAAGAATGGTAAGGGCTGGAGTCAATACTGAAGCAATACCTAAGTGGGTCTATTTTATATTTTCCCTGTAGACTGTTTTCTCTCCAAATCTGTCATCTGCTTTAGAGATAAAGCTTTCAAGGTCATAATTCTTTTGCAGTGTGGTCTAAGCTGTTGTACTACAGATAAAATTCAGTGAGACCACTTCATGCTTTCTGGTAAAAAATACGTTGCCTTTTTAGCAAAATACTATAGATAAAGACTCATTAGCCAGCTATTACATTGTTCACCAAGTATGTGGTGAGGATATTATTTTTGTCTATGACATAAACTTGCTAGAAATGCATAAACGTAAAAGGACTGAAATATCTAACGAGGCTGGGATACGCATTGTTTACAGGAGGTTATTAAAGATTAGCTAGGGTTAGGGAGGATTAGGTCTTGGATAATGCATATGATACCAAGAGGATATCCCTGGACTTAACATTTACAGTGATATGGTTTCAAGTTAGTAGGAGTTGGTTTTTTGTTAGCAACATTCAAGGAAAAAAAAAGGGGGGGTGGGGGGAGCAGAATTTAAAATGGAACATTGTTAAATAAGCTAATGACCATGATCTGGTGTTTTCCTTTGAAGAAAAAAAAAATGAATAATTGGGATGGAATTTTACTTAAAACAAATTTGCAATATCTGATTCTGTTGTTAACAGTTTTGTGTGTCTTAAAGCTATTTTTACTCTATCCAGGTTTTTAGATACTTCCAAGCAAGCCATAGGGATGTTGTTCATCCACTTCGCAAATGTCTATTTATCAGACCTTACAGAAGAAGACCCTTGCTCACTGTGAGTTTTCAATTCTGTGGAAGTGCTGCAGTTAATTTTGATGATGTACATGGACAATAACACAAGCTATAGCTGAGAAACCAGTTTTCACGGTAAAAATCAGTCACTTGAAAAATTCTGTGGTTTAAGCTTAGTTAATCAAGAAACAGTTCTGCTCTTTTAGTTCATGGCTGGGAAGGCTTTTTCTGGACTACATGTAGGTATTTTAGACTGAGAGTAAAATCTTGTTACTTCTCCCTGTCTAGATAATGAATGAGGACTTTGAATGCACAGGGTAACATGAGGCTGTTTACTGAAGGAGGTGCTGGGGACTAAAGGAAATGGATATAAAGTTGTGTACACTGACCTCCAGCTGCACTGTTCACCGCAGCAAGGCTCTCTAATATCAAGTTGTGTGGCTTTCAGAGATATTTAGCAAAAATCATTCATGCTTGTGTTTTTTTCTAAACCCTACAATAGCTACTGCAGAATTATTTTTATTTTGTTAAAAGCAGGAAATCTTGTTCAGTACCCAGGCAGTTAGTATAAAAATTAATTTTGCAATGTCACACTTGGAGCAGTGTGACTAAGTAGATAAGAATTTCACTGTAGTATATTAAACCTGAAGATTTTGACTAAGACCTCGTCATGCTCTTCATAGGAGATCCTGAGGCAAATGGTTATTGTTTGAGTTTGTTCTTGATAGGGTTCATGCTCAAAGAAGCTTACACATTCCTGGTAATAGAAGCTGTGAAATTACTTCTAAAAGCCTAGTTAATTTGCCCTTTAAAACCAATCCAGTACCCTCAATGGCATCTGCTCATTGTTGTCCTTTGGTAAACAAAGGAGCTACACAGTTTAAGGAATGTGCTTGTGTTGCTTCACAAGCCTGTTTTGCTTCCCTTATTCCTCATTTTCTTTTGTGTTCCTACATGCTAGAAATGTGCAAGTAGAACACCACTTCCCTCTTCCCACCATGAAACATTTGAGTATGGAAAATGCATTTACTTTAACATGCTAACTATAAAGTTTAAATTGTAATTATGACAGTTTCAATAATACCAGGCATCACTGTAGGATTTCCTTTCTTACTGATTTAAGAATTTCCTGATAGATGTAAAAACTGGCAGGTGTGAATTAATTTAATTACATTTTTATGTATTAAAGTGTATATTCAAGTAAGCTAACCAAAGCATGTATAAAATTGTCAGTGTTTAAAGATACAGCTCAACAGTTGAAGTATTTTTAAATTTAATTATCTTTGTGCTATGTACTGAGTTTTCAAAGTAAAAGCTTTACTGCATGTTCTTTTCTACATATTTCAATACAGTCCACTTAACTATTTTCAAGCACCACTTTTCGTGCAAGTGTAACATGACACAAAACAAGTAAGAGGCCGAGGTAGAGACCTGTTATTCACTGTTCTCAGAGTAACAAAAATTACAGTCTGGAGCTGTATAATTTCTCAGACAAGGGTGCAATTCCTCCTTGTTAGCAGGAAAAAAAATGGCACGTTGTGTCAAACAAAGCCACTTTTCCTTTCTTGGGAAAAACACGTCTTTAAGTGTGCAAGTGGGTCAGAATTAGTGACACTCGGCAAGCAACATTTCTCTCTGCCTTTAATAATGATTTTACTCAGAAAGTTCAAACATGGGTAGTTTTCTGTTCTTTCCTATTTTGTACTTTGTGAGTTATTTTTGGAACAAACCTAGAAAATGTAGTTTTAGAAAGTACAGTTCAGAGCTTGGAAAGAGCTACAATGAGAAGTTGCTGTTTGTTTGGAAATGTAGTGCTGTCATTCGGGCAGGTGTGTGATAATAACAAAGCTGATAAAAACATCTGTTAAAGCACCTCAGCAGTTGTTTGCAGAATTTTGAATAGAAAAAGCCACCAACACTCCTCTTTTGTAGTGCAGGGAATTCATCTGGCTGTGTAGCAGCTGCTTGTGCTGTTTGCACGGGTTGCAGGTGAGCAGGGTCCTGAGGCGCCGCATCCCAGAAGGAGCGTGACGCTGACTTGTAGGGAGCCCGCAGTGCCTGGGAATGCCAGGCAGCCTTGGCATGCACTGGGGCCGTTATTTGATGTGAAATAGGTGTTGGCACAGCTCTTCTTCTTCCTGCTCCTGATGGCTGCCTTCCTGCTATAGACTTACAGCAGCCCCTTGTGGCCTTAAATTGACTCGTGTAGGCTTGTAATTGCTGAATCTCCTCTGCCAAACACTAACCCTTGATTTTAACGTCTGTCTAATAGGAGGTTCATTAAACCTTTGATTTGACACACGACTATTAGAAAATTACTATTTTTTAGAAAGTTCATGGTTAAGTCTTAGCTGAAATAAGGCATTTCCTCTTCATTTTTATTTTTGATATGCTCTTGAATGAGATTTGGAGGGTCAGAACAGCTCCTCTGTTACTGTTTTGAATGCACATATCCTGTCTTTGCTTTACACTTTCTGATAGTACTTTGTCCACGTGGATTTGTTTCTGCAGCCAGCAGTATCCCACAGGTCTCTGATTTACTGATTTGTAACCCTGTAGATAAGTTCTTACAGATGCTAGAATTTATCTGAAGTATCTGGAATTACCAAATAAGAATTTCAGTAACAGGGATTTACTACATGTCTCACAGCTGGCTCTGTCAGCTGCTGTTTTGTTCAGCTAAAATCAGTGACAATAAATAAACCAAACTGACTTACAAAATGCTCTGAATTTCAGCTGCACCATTTAATGAACCTAAGAATTAATTTGAAAACCATAGTAATCTCTAGTTTCTTGAAGCATAGGTAAGATTCCAGCAGCTCTGCTTGAAACAACAAAATTAGTAGTGCAGCAGTTGTGTGTCCATTGAGGAGTGGCTTGTTGTTAGGTGTTTTCTTTGAAGGGCTTCTTCCCTGTTCTTTCATAAGTTCAGTGGACAAGAACTGAAGTGCAAGAAAATAAATCACTTCTTCCTAAGGAATTTGGCCTAGGTAGTGACTGTGCTCTCTAGACACAATATTCCAGTGCTCATTGTTGAGGCTAAGAGGGGGCTCCCTTGAGCAAGATGAACTGTCTAGTTATGGTGTCTTTCCCTCTCAGAATGAAAGTGGGTTGGGTTTTTTACCTTCAAATTCCTTGAGATGTCTGTAAGATAATTTCTCATGTTATTCCTTTGGTTTTATTCAAATACTAGTTTTTCTCTGCAGAATGAGCTGTGCAATGGTAGAAAGGAAATAGGTTTTAATTGAAAGGAATAAAATGTGTATTGGTATTTCCATAGAGTATGCACATGCATACATAAGAGTTCATGAAAATAGAAGTTGGAGCTTAACTTTAGGGATGGAAAAAATATTTTCTAAAGTATTTTGTTATTTAAAGTATTAGAGTCTTCTAAAACTTTTTAAATTTTAGTTTAACTATGTACACTAATTAAAGCAGTAAGTAAATTATAATTCCAAAACTCTGGCTTCTCAGCGTATACACAGATCTTTTATCAATTGTGGTGTCGAAATACAGTGAACTTGTGTGGACCCTTTCTCCTTGCCTTCTTTTACATTCTTCCTTCCAGGTATCTTATCAACTTCTTGTTAGATGCCACACTAGGAATGCTGTTAATCTACATTGGTATTCGTGCAGTCAGCAGCCTGGTGGAATGGCAGCAGTGGGAGTCCCTTCGCTTTGGTGAATATGGTAAATGTTTCTGTTCTTGCACTGAAATTATTTTTCAGGATAGAATCCCAGACTATTTCAGCTAGTGGTTAACTCATCTTAAAATCATTATAGAATTATTATAGTGGTCATTTTAATTATTCATTTTTCACAAGGGTTCTTTTAGGTTCTGTATCTCAGCATGCACCTTCTGTGCTAGAAAGCTTAAGTCTCTACATTTAGTGAGTTTAGAACAACTGCTTGAATATTTATTTTTTTAGGAGTGATTGAATTATGATATTGGCTCATGGAAAAAATAACAGCATGATAAATTTATTCTGAAACACTTCTAAATTAATGATAGCTGGAAGGTAATTTCCTATTAAAGCTTTCACTGAAGCACATGCCATTGTCTGAAGATACGGACTAAGAGTTCTGCCAGCCCTTTTTAAAATAAACAACCACATACCTGAAGTGAAGAGAATGGCAAGATGGCCTGTGCTTGTCTGCAAGTGATGGTCACTCAGAATCCTGCATGTAGGACTTATATCGTTCATAAAAAAATGTGGATGTCTTTTGCAGAGGCTAAGTAATAGACTAGTGAAGTCACTTCCATATGAAGTTGTGGTTTTTATCTTCCTTTACATTAGCCACAGAAGGCCACTACTCTGCTGAAACTGTGTATTTACAGATGCAGTTGAGTATCGTACATACTGAACATTGACATTTAATTCTGTTCAACCTGTTATTTTCAAATTACTTAGTCTGGCTGAGAATGCAACTTCTGTATAGATACTAAAAATTACATTTGAAACCTCTTGAGACAAGAATGGGGGAGAGGTTGCCTTATAAGAAAGCTACAACTTTTTATTGGAGAAAAACAAAAAAAACCAACCCCATGGTTGGAGGGGAGGAAAGGAAAAAAGGTTGAAATTTGCCTAACAAAGTAAAACTTTTCATAGCAGTTTCATAGTTACCAATGGTGGGTTTTTTGGTTTTTTAGGTTTCTTTGTTTTTAAGTGGCTGACAGAATTAAGAATAAATAAATAAAGGCCCTGCCAAGTTGAAGTACTTCAAAAGTTTAGGAAGTTTATAATTAAATCAAGTAGCATTAATTGCTATTTGCTTTAATGTCAGAGGTTTAAAATACAGATGATGACAAGCATCTATCTTAGGAGAAATAACTGCCTATATAGCATTAGGGCATTTATGGTTAATTAGTGCAGATTTAATGTGTATCTTTTAGGGTACAGAGTGTATCTTTTAGGGGGCAGTTTATGGCCATTTAAGCTGCTTAAATGAGCACTGCCATAACCCTGCTTATCTGCTTTTTTCCCACATGCCACAGTCCACTATTTTCACTCTGTTCCTCAGACTGGTGCAGATCTGATGTTTTAGGGGACTGACTCAGAGAGCTAAATCGTCAGAAAATTCACCATATGTAGAAAAGTAAATACTTCCTCCAGATCAGCCCTCAGACTTGGGTCTCTAAGGGATTAGGTAAGCACCAGTGCCCAGGGCAAAGGAAAAGGGCAAGGAAAGAGTTGAGATGTTGCTGAGCTACACCTTCCATCTGAGCTCGGAGACCTATTGCCCAAAGTCCCATTTTCTGATTGTTGCTTTGGCTTGAAGCCATTCAAAGATGTTTTGACAGTATAAAATTGGCTTTCCACTCAGAGCAAAAACCTTAGGTTATGTGTTTCAATTATAGGTGGGTACTTGTAATCATGTCAGATGCTAGATTTTTTCTTCCTAATATCATTCTGGTTTTTCTTGTGTAATCTGTTCCCCTCTGTCATTTTAGGGTTTTTTTAGCAATAAGAGGTTTATGTGGATGGGAGCATGTGAGAAGTATATTTACCTCTCCTGAAATTTGTTTCCATCTCTTACTGACTTCCAAAATGAACCTGTTTTTATTTTATTTATGAGGCAGATAACTAATAAAACTGTTATTTCTGGTCTGGTGTGGAGGTGGTCTGTGATTGTAATTTTGAGTTAGGAGATCTGAAATGAACTTGTTTAGCAAATAATTCTTCGGTGTGTGTGTACAAGCGATGTATGAAATTATGTAGTTCCACTTTACTTAGTTGTTCTTTCCAATATCAGAATAATTTATTAGTGACTTTCTTTTCTCTATATTTAATAATGTGTTATGTTTACCTTAGTGTGTTGTTTTTTAATCAAGCTATTGCAAAGACTGTTAAAAAGCATATTGTAAATGTATTTCCATTAATAATGTGGGAGACGCTTCTGGTATAGAGGGAAGTAGGTATTAGTTGGAAAGTTAGTAGTAGTGACTGTGCAGTAAGGTTAGACCCTGTGTAAGAAATCTGTCTAAAAAGGACAAGTTACATTGGATGGTTGGCTTGCTGCCCTCTTCTGTTAAATACTGCTGTTGTCTCTTAAGGGAAAACCCTGATACTACAATTTTATTTAACATTTTTCTTTTTGGCCCCAAGAAAAGCTCTTATTTTTCGTAAGATTCTCCAAAAGTGATTCTTTCAAAGGTTCTTTAAGTACAGTAGAAGAGGGGACTAAAATGCAGTCCTGTGGGGTCACAGGTGTGTTGAGACATAGTATTTTGACGTTAAATATTATTATATTAATAATTAATTAATATTAAATGATTAATTAATATTATAATATTTAGCATACATAGGTGCTGAGGTGCCTGCTTATTGAAATGTATCAGACTTCTGACATTTTATCTGTAGCAGCCAAGTCCTCAGTGTGAAGATCAGTGTGATTTCACTTTGTTTGCAAGTGTGGGAAAACAAACAACCCCCCCAAAACCTTTTTCCCCACCCCAAGTTGTCTCCTGTGATTGAATTATGTTGTTTGTGCTTCCAGACCCTAAATCATTTGTCTCAAGTTAATTCTCACTGTGAGGTCATTTCCCGTCTTAGCTCTATTACTTGATCCCTGGTGATTCACTACTTGAAGCTGTCACAAAAATAGCAGTGTCCTGCTGGTTTTGAAAGCCTCTTCTTTATATGGAGGATAGATTTTAAGCAAATATGCCTCAAGGAAGGACTGGATACCAAAATACCAGTATTCATAAGTGGTTGCTGTTTGTACCGCGAAACAGCACTGCAAGCTGATTTATGCACCAAGTAGCGTGACGCTCCCTAAAGGGCTTTTTTTTAATGTCAATTTTTAAGTTTATCAGATTTGCCTTCATGTTTCCAGCTTTGTATTTTCAGATTGATTACATCAGCAGCTGAGTTTTAATAGAAGTGCAGAATCAGTTAATTATATTTGAGTATGTAAAGAGGAAAAAAGCTGTCATGATCTTTGCTGAAAAGTATGTTGCCTGCGTTCTCCTTCGCTTCTTGCCTTAGGCTGCTTTAGCTTCTGCAAGTAGAAAACAGGTGACTAAATCCCTCTTGGTGACAATTAATTCTATGGGAAACTAAATGGTGCTGTGGTCTTTTTTGCTTGTCTTTGCTTCTCAGATGGCAAAGCTTAGAAACTCTATTGGATGCATCTTTTTCCTCTTGCTCCTTGTTTGCAGCTTGCAGAGCAACTTACCTGTAGCCATATAGAGTAGATAGCGCTTACTTTAAAACTTCTTAAAAATTTTTTTTGAGTATTTCTGTGGGTTGGCATTTTCTTAAGGATTTTTTTCAAGATTTGAGGAAAACAGAAAAGTTACAGGATAGAGGCATCACAAGTATTTTGTTCAAGACCTGTCTGTAAATGTTCTTCTACAGAGTGGCTGATCAAAGTAGTATACACTGGTTTAGATTAGTTTTTCATTGTCTAGCATTTTCAAAAAAATGCTCCTACAGTTGTCACTGCTGAGGTTTTAAAATTTTCCAGTTTCCAGTCTTAATGAGCTTTTTCAGCATGAAGATTTCTACTCATTTACCAGTTTATTATAGACATGTAATTTACACAGGACAGGTGTAAAATCAGAATTCAAGGGAGACTGTCAGAGACTTTTGAAATTAAGTTAGAGCTTTTTGACCTTGTGTCTTCAGAAGAGTCATGGTTGCTCAACTTTAAATGACTGGTATCTCCTCTTTCAAATTATCTAACTTCTCTTTATTTACAACAGAAGCCATAAACTGCAGCATATAATTATAACACTTGAGCATTTTAACCATTTTCCTCCTGGACTGTTGAGTGTTGATGACTAGCTCTTACTGTAAAACTTGTTTAGGAAGTTTCCTTTGTTTTGGACTCCAGTCTGATTTATCAGTTTCTCTTTGTACCATTTAAGCAGCAAACTATTACCAAGTATTAATACTTGAAAGGTTTTCAGAAATGTTCCAGAAAAGGAAGTAGCAATTATGCATTACAAATACATAAAGGCATCTGAATTTCCATTACCTATTATTCATCCCCAGGCTAAAAGTTTTAAGCCGCCTTTGAAGATGTTGCAGAAGATGGTCATAAAGACTAAAGGGCTAACACCCCTCTCCAAAGCTTCCTTTTGGTTTCCAGTGAAGTGCTGCTTTAAGTTCACCTGCAAAGCTTGTTAGGGGTGTCAGTCCTCTTTTTCCTTTAGATTTTTCCTCTTTTTTTTTTTCCTTCTCCTTGCTTTCCTAGAGTTAAATACGTAAGTTTTCATGTTCATATATTTGTGGTCCTCGTTCTGCCCTGGCAGATAATATAATGCACTCAGGTTTTCATTCTGCTTTAATGGGGTGCAGAAAAATTTCAAACCTTTTCAGGTTGAAGCTAAAATGTGATCTTAATTTTTTGTTCAGTTAGGTTTTTCATAGCAGCTCTTGCACCTGTTGCTTCAATTATGATTGGTTAGTTATGGTAACTCTGTAGAGAGAAAAAAATATGTTTAAGGTAGCCTAAGGAGAATGGCAGAAATCACCATGTTTCTACTTACACTGGAGGGTGTTTTTCCTCAGCTCTGTTTCCCTTAAGTTTTTCCTTTAAGAAACCTAATGCTTCATGACAGAGGGTCAAAAACAACAATTTGATGAGAAACAACTGTAATGCAACCATATCTGTCTTGCTTTCATCAGATTGTATAAAACAGTGAGTGTATAACCAGGTATTGCTGAATCAGATAAAGTCCCATTACATTCAGTTTTTGACTGATACTTTTTGAAAGTTGAGGGGTGCTGCTTTTCTAAAATGTTTACTGTGAACTAAAATCGACCCTGTGCGTATCTTGAACCTTTCCTCTCTTGCAGGTGACCCACTGCAGTGCAGTGCTTGGATGGGCCAATGTGCTCTGTACATAATGATTATGACATTTGAGAAAACCATCATCATTATAGTGCTGCTTATACCTCAGTGGAAAGAGGTTTGTATTTTTACAGTATTTTACAGACAAATGAGTTCCAGGTGGAAGCTGTAAAGCAACAGACTTCTAATAGTTTTTATTCCCTTGGCTCAAGCAACATTAACTGTCTGCAGTCAATGCTGTTTCACTCTGCTGTGCTGGTATGTTCTTTTAGCTTGATTAAGATCCTGCTAATTAGGCTCTCTGGCATCCATTACCAGGAATATCCTGTCATATTTTAGAGGGGTTTTATATACTGCAATATATCGTTTTACTCTGTCTCCTTTTCTGAGTGCTCTTGAAGCTATTAAGTGGTTCTTCCTTTTCTTAATTCTTTAACCCTTACTTAAAGCTGTTTGGATTGATTTTTGTGGTACTTTAAAGAATTTCCTTTGCCTGACCTTGTTGCTTGGTCCAAACTGTACAATTTAAGTAATTTGCAATGGCTTAGTGAAGCAATTGCTGCTGATGGAAAGAGTATTTACTTTGATAGAATCTGTGCAATGTAATGTTCAAACTGGTGATGCTTGGTGTTACAGCCCATTAGAACCTGTTAGTCCCTGTTTTATGCTCTGGAGTACTTTGGGAATGTCCTCTCCTTAATGTGTATTTTGTGAAACACTGGTCTGTTTAAATTTCCTAAAAATGGAACTTCAGATATTTTCCTGGGGAGCACGGAGCTCTAAAATGTTAAAGATTTTTCTAACACAGCTCTTCAGACTTCGTAAACAAAAATGACAGAGAAGGTTCTTTCCGTTCCCACTTACTTATCTGTAGCAATTTATAAATTGTCCCAAATACTTTCCTTTTCTACAATGCTGTCCTTTGTTGGTTCATATGAGAAATTTCTGTAGTGTACATGAGCAATTGCACAAGTGATAACCCAGTTATGTGCACATGCTGCCATGGTCTGAACATAATTCTTTTCTTTTCACAGGTAGCTTTATTGAATCCTATAGAGAACCCCCAGCTGGAGCTGGCTATCGTCATGCTGATAGTTCCTTTCTTTGTTAATGTTAGTACAACTTGCATGCTTCTCTTGAGATGTTTACTTGGGTATCTTTCTGCTGTGTGTTACTTAACTAGCATTAGTTCTTAAAGCACAGTGTTCCTTCAGTTAATTTTTAAAGAGGAAGAGCATTAAAGAATGGATAAAATATCTGGAATGTAGCTTTTTACAAAGCTGAAATAACCAGGATCAGAAGAGGTGCAAAAATGCCTCATACACCTCTTTGGGCTGATGACTTCAGTAGATTGAATGAAATACTGACGTAGAGGTTATAAAATTACAATGAAATTAGTTTCAGGCAACAGTTGGTCTAATGAGAGCTGTATCTTGTGTCCAGCTAGTAGTGGCTGGCCTATGATGGAGCAGAGGAAAAGGGCAAGTGTGCAATCATCCTTCCCAAAGTATACTCTTCCAGTAATCTGGGATTCAGGGACTAGAGCCAGAGATGGTGGGTGTCCTTACATTTAATAACTGCTGGTGATTTTTTTTTTCTTTGATTAATTTGTTCAAGCCTGGATTTTATCTTCTAAAAAACAAAAGTCTTGTTGTACTAAGATGTCAGCCTAAACCGTTCACATTTCTATATGAAGAGTTAATAATGATCACTCTGAACAACAGCTGCTTTCCTTGTTTTCTTCTTTACTGCAAAAGAATAAAGTAGCGGTGTTCTAGAGCGTTCATGCAATGTGTAACAAGCCATGGCACTGCCTGCCTATATGAGATTTTACTGGCTTGGCCAATTCAGAGTGATTGTCAAGTTTTCATAATTCTGTCTAAATACTGACCCAGTGAACAGATGCTACTCTGAGGTAAACTGAACTGTCACTTCCCCCTTCTCTTTAACAGGCATTCATGTTCTGGGTAGTAGATAATTTTCTTATGAAAAAAGGGAAGACAAAAGCTAAACTTGAAGAAAAGGAAGCAGGACAAGATTCAAGAAATGGAAGTAAAGTCCGATACAGGAGAGCAGCATCACATGAAGAGTCAGAGTCAGAAGTACGTAGAGTTAATTGTTGCAATTAATACAATATCACTCCAGTTCATCACTTGTGCCATTGATTTAAGTGTAATGCTGTCAACTTAGTTATGATTTGCTTCGCGTGTACCTCTAGCAGTAGTTTCTAGCATGTGCAGCTGAAACCAGTTAAGATAAATGGCATGTCTGCACCAATTGTGGGAGTTATTTTCCTTCCAGATGGGCAGGAAGGCACAGTAATATATTTAAGTATCACAGGTGAGCTGTGTTACAAATGTTTCCAAAAAAACCCACGCAGAGTACAAAACTAATAGACAATTCTAATTCAAAGAAAGGTTAATAAAGTGAGAGGAAGCTGGTGGAGGCAACTGGCCTGATTTTGGAGAAGTATTTATGACTTTGCCTTAGCATGGTTTTATTCTAAATTATATTAAGTGGCAGTTTTCAGTTCACATGAAGGATGGGCAGTATCTTTGATGGTAAGTTGGTTTAGCTTTGGTTGGTCAGTATAACTGTTCTGCATTATGGACAGTACTGTTTATGTGGGGCGTTCTTTAATCGAATGACTGGCATATCACCAGTGTGGCTAGAGAGGTTATATACTCTCTCATTTTAACAGCAAGCCATCCCCACTGTTCTGGAGATGCTGGAATCACTTCTTTGGGTCTAGAATCAGTGATTGCAGTGGTGATTAGTACACACACATCCTTCTTTGAAATTTACTGGATGTTCCAGACAGGATGTGTGGTGGGTTTAGATATACTGGCAGTAAATCTAAGTTATGTTCTGTAAGCTCGTTTCTTGAGCAGGCAATAAGGTCCTTTGCAAGGATTAAAAAGGTTAGAAGTAGAATAAAGAAAGAGTGTGACTTCGCTGTTTCTCAGAAGCTGTCATTTGTTTTTAGATCCTTATTTCAGCAGATGATGAGATGGAGGAATCAGATGCTGAAGAGGACCTGCGCAGACTGACCAACCTGAAGCCTATTAAGAAAAAGAAGCATCGTTTCGGTCTGCCTGTATGACACATGCCCTGGCCTGGGTGTTTGCAGGTCTCACGGCAAAAACTTCAGTCAGTGGGTTTTAATGTTGCAATTGCATCTCCCTTCTCATACAAACTGACTTTAAAAGCAAGGTCTACCAACAGAATGCAAGTGGTTGGAAGACTTCCAGTTCAGTTGCACTACAGACACACTGACCAATTATGCAAGTGTCTTTCCACTCGTGTGCAGAACACGGTGTTGGGAAGGACGAGGAGCTAAGGGAATGCGTGTCTGGCATTTCGAAGGAGATCACAAAGCAGATCCAGCAGTCTGTCACTTACGGTTACTGAGGATACAGCTGTAAGATGTTCTCAAAAAGGCATCAGAATTAACTAAGTTAAAGGAGTGTGTTTTATTACTAAAACTGGCTTTTGCAGCATAATTCCCAGAGCAGAATAGTTTATGGTTACAAGCTGTAACTTAACATTATTTTTTTAAGTACAAATGTTTACTTGCTGCCAGGTACCTATGGAACAAATAGGTGGAACAAAGATTTTTTTTTTTTCCAACTCTCCTGAAATCTATTTGACTATTTTATATTTAAGTTATATTTTCATACAGTTGTATTTAAAGATTTTCTTTGTCAGAGAAAACCGTGCAGTTCCCTTTTGTGCAGAACAGGTCAAAAGATTCATAGCAAGAACGTAATTTATCCTTGTGTCCTGGTTTGACCACAGGATTGCAAAGGGAAAAGCTCTGTCACTGCTGAAGCCACCAAATATCACTAAAAATGTAGTCCTAAGTGTGCTTTTGACCACATAATTTGAAAAATACCTTTTTAATAGGAGGTTGTGTTTGCATATTTGACAAACATGCACTTTAGTGTATAACAAAAATCTGCTGTTAGGTTATTTGTGAAATTAATATCTACAGGTGACTCTTATTTCGGTTTCTCTGAGTCTCTTGTGCATACCTCTCTAGTGGCCCAGAAGAGATGGAACATTACTTACATTTTTCCTTATATAGGGCCTGTGGTACAGGACCGCAATCTGACTGAAGCAGTCGTGCCACAATATTGCAAATAATTTTCCCTTGTTTTAAGTTGAAAAAGCAATCTTTTATTTAATGTGCTAAAAAAAAAAAGTCTGGTTATCCTTTAGTATTCAAAACCAAAAAAAAACCCCAAGAGAGATAGTACAGTTGTTACTACAGAATTTTTGTGGTCTTTCAGTGTCTTGTGTTCTGATAATTGACAGCACGTGCTGATCTGAAACCTTGCAGACATGTTTTCAGTGACATCCTTTTGCTTTGCATATTTTCTAAACGATTGTTTCTGACAGCTTTCCTTGTGTAGCTAAACCTTGTGCTGGACAAGGAGATGTGTCAAAGAGGTGACAACAGACCATAAGTGCAAATCTGTTGTGGTGTCTGGACATCAGATATGTTCCAAGCCTTAAACCAAACAGTTTCATTGGAAAACTGCTCAGAACTTTTTAAGATTTTTCTATATTTTTTATAGATTTACTAGGTCTTAATGTGATTTATTATCCAGACCACTTAAATGGGGTTCTTGGGCCTTAGTAAATACTGAACTGTGTGCCCCCATACTTGTTTTCTCTATTCCAGCATTCCTTTTCACTGCTTGGCTGCTGAGGTGAACACAATGTTCTGAGATTCCAGGTACACCTCAGTGTGTCCAGCTGGCTAGAAGGGACATGTTACCAGACCTGATGTTACTGAGTTTAGTTGAGCCACTGACCTCTTGTTACTGTGCACTGAAACGTAATAACTGCAATAAGTACTAGTGTTTCTTTTAGACTAAATCTAGAAGCTAATGACAACAGGGGCTTAATTGAGTTACTCTGAAATGGGGAGCAGGGAGGTTGGGGAAATGTCTCTAATCAGTGCTGCCTCTGGTTTAGATTTTTGGGTTCTTTTCACTGATTGTGTGACTTGCACCTTCTCTTGACTATGTACCACCGGGCGGGCACATACCTCCAAAAGCACAGGACTTCAAGGAATTCATTCTCATTAGCAGAATAGTCTCATACCACTCACTTTTTCAAAGGGATTTTAAGAGCTAGGACTAGCTCTTGTAAGCAAATGTCAGCATTTACTTTTTTTAGCATAGGATTTGTTCTATATTAGATGATGAAATAAAGCTATTCAACATGTGCTGCATCCCACTGCACAGCCACCACTGTCCTCATCCACCATCAGAGGTAACTGAGCAGCACACACAAATTTAATTGAATGAACTTTCATTTTATCTTCTTTTCCCTCCTCTTTCCCAGTTATTTGTCAGAATTATTTCAAGTCTCATGTTTAGTCTTTGAAGTGTCGGTATAAAATTATGGCCTTAATCATGTAAAAATACTTGGTTTCAAGCAGACCTCAAACTTATTGACCAAGTACAAAACAGTGTAAAGCACTATGGAGCAGCTTCTCAAAGACGGTTGTGGCAAAGACTTATGAATGCCTCATTTTTCCTGTATTAAGTGCTTAAATGTCACTTGGTTTGAGATTTTGATTATGCCTAGCAAGATGATGTAGTAAAGCACTATGAGCCAAAGAGACAGAAGTATTTTAAATACCACAGTAGTAACTGAAGGAGCATATCTTCAGAGGGGAAAAAATCAGCTCTAACTTTCTCCAATAAGACAAAACATTTATTCACAACCTTCACCAAATAATAAAAACTGGGATTTATTTTTTTCTATTCGTTCCTTGTAACCATGTGAAAGAGCTGAAAAATATAAAAGTGGCAGTTTTCCTCTTTGTAAGATAAAAATTGGAATCCTTGCAGTAGGACAAGTGCTCTTGTTTGAAGAGCTTATATGTGTGAGGAGGAAGTATGTGCCTAGTGCTTCACTATGTCTTACTGTTTGCTTGTTGAAATGTATTGGCAGTACAGTCTGGAATATTTTTTCATTAAGAGTTGATCCAGTAATAATATTACAACATGACAATGTTCGCATTATCCTCAAATTGACTATCTAAATTTCTGCCTGGTGAACGTACCTCAGGTCAACTCACAGCAAAGGTTGAATTCAGGCTGTGCTTAGAAAAACGTGATTTTGTTTAATGAAAATAAGCTCTGTAGTATATGCCAAAGGAAGAGAAAGAGATTGTAACTTACAGAAGAGATGCAGAAGTATTGGTGGAGATCCAATTTACCACGAGTGGTCAACCTAAATGTATTAACTGTTTCTAGTATTCGACCTGTGACACATCTGCATAAACTTAAAACACTGGTATTGTCTAATACATGGTTTTCAAGTTCTGGCTTTAATATGTTCAGGTCCCCTTGTCTTACTTTAAGTAGATAAATGCTGTGTGTTAATGTTGCTATCTAAAATATACTATAGCTTTTCTTCAGGGAAAACTCAAAAATTGAGTTGCAAATTAGAGCAATGCAAAGTGATCCCCTCCCAGGTGTCTGCTCCAATTCCAGCTGAGCCTGGGGAGGGAGTTGTGGGCTCTCCCACTCTGCTGAGGGCTGAGCATCACAAGGAATTTCTGCCACTGTGCTTGACTAACCCGTTTGCAACTTTGCTGTGCTTTTTACAGGAGAGACCAGTAATGAAAGCAGATAAATGCAGCCACATCGAGTGAGAGCAGATCTACAGCACAGGCCTGCAAACTTTTTTAGGTAGTTTCCAGTTCAGTTACTGAAAATGACTACTATGGTTTTACAAAGTAAAACTGCAGTATCTTTAAAAAAGGGACTTTTTTTTTTTGTAGGTATTTTAGTCTTGCGTGGGTATCTTGTCTCAACCTGAATGTTGGGTTTGTTTGTAAGTAAATTCAGAGTATAGCCTATGTGAGCAAAACCAACAGCTGTATTCTGCTGCCCTTTGTTTGGACCATATTGTTTAATCAGTGGTGTTACCCTGAACTCCTAAGGGTATCTGATGTAATTACATTGTATAATGGTTTACAATAAAGTTGACTTATTACAGATTTGTACACTTGTTTTATATTTGCTCCATTTAGAAGTGTGCATGCTTCTTTGTGCCCTTGTGGGAAGCAGGTTTTGCTGCTGGTTCAACTTCAGTACTGCAGATATAATTTTGTGCACTCTCGTCTTGGTATTAATTTCAATATATTCATATGTCTTAACAGCAAGTCCCATGTCAGTTGGAGGAACCAATGTTCTTAAGAAGCAAATTTTGTTAAAGACTAAGATTCCTTGCAAGGTCCTCTTGGATCTGTTCCCTGAGGAGGGCTTTTGGTCTCTGTGTGTATTTTCATACTGAAAATAAAACCTTTTGATGTGAGAAATCCTCTGTGAACTCTTGAGATTGTGAAACACTGACCTGCAGCCTTTTGGAGTGTAGGATGTTGTTAAAGTGCTTTAACCACACAGCTGAGTATCACAGCCTGCTTTTGGCTTTACAGGCAAAGCCAGACCTTTTGTTCATTGGCAACAAGAACATGTGAGGTCTGCAATTTCTGACTTCCCTCCAACATCCTGCCCATTGGCTGAGACGTGGCCTAATTCAGTATCTTTATCTGTTTCTTCTTCTGTTCCCCTTCTGATTCGTTTGCAGCAGGTAGTAGAAATGCATAGGCAGCAAAGGTGTCTGAGGGTGCTGTTGAGAAGTAGGATGTAGTAGTAGGATGTAGGATGAGAGCTGGCTTGCTGTGAAGATGTAGCCTGGGCATGTGCTGGTGATAAAGATCTTTAAGGCTGCAAATGGTGAGTGGTTGATACTTTTATGCCAGAACAGAGCAGAAATCCTGTTCCTCATGACCTGCCATTGCCATCTCCCCTCCCTATCTTGGTGGGATCAGTTTAGTGTGTTCTGTTGGGCTGGACCTGCATAGCATCAATCTGCCACTACCTCTAACTCTTCTGTGTTGTTTGCCCACTGTTGTCATTACTTCCCACCTACTACACATGAGCAGCCCCATACCTGCTGCATCTATAAAGGGAATTTGGAGAATAACCATCAACCTATCAAGCCTGTCAGTCCACTGAGGGATATTGGCAACTCCTTGGAGAAGTCAAACCTGTAAGATCTGAGCTTCCTGAAGATCACAGTGGTCGGACATGTACACTCTCTAAATTCTCTGGTTATTGCCATATTTTAGCTGCTGCCGTTCCTCAGTAAAGGAGTTTTCCACACTTCATGTTGCAGTGGAAGATGAAAAAGGGTTAATTTGTATTTCTAATAGCTACTGTTAAATAAACTAGCTGATCTTGTTTCGTTGTCATTCATGTCCCATTTAACAGATCTCAAGGCCTCAACCAAGTGAACAGGATTTATCCTGAAATGATGAAATGTAAGTACCTATAGACTTTGGTTTTTTCAAAGGAAAATTTAGCCCTTGATCTGTAAGAGGAAGTGGTTGTGCTTGTTCAGCATTGGTTTAGGAGCAGTATAATCACAGAGAACACAATTGTCCAGGCTATTGGGGATGTCTTGGAAACTTTAGGAGGAGATCCTCATCTCCTACCCCTGAGTGGCATGCAAGGTGAAGGTGTTTTAATTTTGTTTGCATCATGATTTCGATTGTATAAATTAAACTGCCATGAAAGCATAACTGTTGTTTTTGAGTAAGGAATATATAGTACCCATTAAATGAAGCCATTTTGAAAGCTGAAAGGAAAAAATAGTTCTGTGTCTTGAATTCTAAATATTTGCTTTGAACACCAAGTGTTATTTTTCCGTTGTAATGAATAGTGTCAGAACAGTAATGCTTACAGGACTGTACAGAAACATTTTAGTAGAGGAGAGGTCTTGCTTTGTACCATAGAAAAAAATCTGCTGTTTTTCTTAAAGTTGATGTTTGTGGTTTTTAATTCTGCTTTCTTGGCCTACTAAAAGGTACTGCTGTTTTGCAGGAATGCTTCCTCTAGTTTTCTAAGTTTTGGTTTTAAAATAGAAATTCAACATAAGGAATGGCTAAGTATGTAATGTCCAAACAGCTTCTTAACCTACAAATACTTCCTCCAGTAGTCACATAAAGGAAAGTATCTTCTCAGGCCTGGAAAGAGATCAGCTTAAAGGTAAAACAAGCACCTGGAGGTTGAGGTGATAGTTCACAACCAACAGATCCAACAGCCCTGCTCATATGGGGCTAGTGCTGTGGTCTTGATGCAATGTTTTCATAATGAAAAAAATACTAAATTTATTTTACGTCCTGTGCTGCTCTGTAGCCTAAACAAAACACAGGCAGAGCTTAAGAAAGGGCCAGGGCAGATTTCTATCACTACGACAGTTGGTGTTTATTGTAAAAGATATTTGGAATTCTGCCATCTCTGCCTTATATTAACACATGTGGCTGGGGTCTTGATTCTTTGCAGGTAGTGAGTGCAGCCACAGAAGCTGATTTTTTTTTTTTTACATAATGCAAAGAATTAATGTAAAAACCCCTATTTTTAAAAACCCACCCAACCCTTTCCCAGTAATAAATGTTAGAGTTAATGCTTTAGAGTTTAATCTAAAAATTGTTTATAGAGCAAATCTGAGAAGTTCTGGGAGAAGTTCTATTACTGTCAGCATTCAGTGGGAAACACTGAATTTGTTCATGTCTGAGTAATCCATTCCTATACAGGCGACAAATGAAATTATTACTTACTAATACTGCTGTATGTAGAAAGTGATTTTACACTCTTAGTTATGTAAGAGCCAGCACCAGTGCAAGCTCAGCAAGACAACTGTAGAAGTAAAATCATATCCTATTTTATTAACTCTCAAAAATAAATACTCCTCTGTTAAAGATCCCTATGCAAAGACAATTTAGGGTACACTGTTCTGCTTTGTATGTTAGGTTTGTATCATCTTAGAGGAGGCATATTTTGTGATGTTGGGAAAGAAAAATGCACAGTTTGGCATTTGTTTTTTTCTTCCCCCCATCAAAGGGTTTCAGAGTCAATTTTGTGTCCGTAACAAAGTTTTGCCTTTTAAAGGTATAAATAGAGCCCCACTGGACTCCCCGAGGAGTCATTTTGTGGTGGATGAGGCTTCCCTGCAGTCCTCCTGCCCCAGCTGTCTGCTCCCATCAGCCCCAGCTCCATCCGTCCCCAGGCACAGGGTGCAGCAAATACTGCACACCCGAGTCATGGCTAAGAATAAACCTTCCAACAACAACCGCCTCTGTCAACCTGATTCACCCTGCCTTCTGCTTTGGGAAAATGACCCAGCTCATGACTTCATGTTAGATGCTCTATATAAGTCGAGGAAAAAAACGGGTGTTCGTAGCCGGGCTGGATTGAATCACAGCTGGGAAAGCAGCGCGGGAGGGATTAGGGTCGAGCGAGCTCTGCAGTTATGTCACAGGTACGGGGAGATCTGCCGGGCTGGCTCTCCTGGGAGCAGGGTGCCTGATGGGTTACTATGTTAGATGGTTTGCTTGGAATAGCTTATTAGCAAGTTACTCTCATTAACCAGTGAATTCTTTTCTACTCTCTGAGTTGTTCCATTACGCTGAACCATTTAAACACCATGTATCTGTTTTAACAAGTAAGTTGTTAGGAGGGATTATGTGATGAAGAAGGAAAGCAGTTCCCTCTACATGGCTAATTAATTTAGTTATAAACTGTTTTGTTTTACCATAAATGTTTTTATTTATGTAGGCAGGGAAAAACACTTCCACTGCTCTGGGATGTTTCACAGAAGAAGTTATTTCTGCTTTTCCAACATGCTTTCTCAGACAATGATTTGGAATTTTAGCAGTGTTTTTGAAAGGACCTGGCTGTACTGAAGTTGCTGCTGTGTAAAGTTTAATGTATTCTTATGCAGGGAAAAGAGAGTGTGACTGAAAAATCTGTTAGGAGGCTGAAATTTTGTATTATACACTTCTATGTTAATTTTGTGACTATTTTTTCTTTACTGGGTTCGCCAATAATCAGTGTTTCAAAGCAATCTTAAAATTAGCCCAGAAACACTGAGTTTTTCATGTGTAACATTTTCAACACAGGTACTTGGCAGAGTCCTTCCCATTGTAAGAGTTTTATGTGGTGAGTGGGATGGAGGGTAAAAACAGGGAGGGTAGAAGAGCACAATCCTTCAACCACACAGAATAACTCCGCTTATTTTATTTACTCCAAAGAAAGAGATTTCAAAAACAATCATATGTTTTGTAAACCAACAGTTTTTCACTTGTAACAGGAGGAGATAAAGTGCAAGCTGCACTGCTGTGCCAGCTGGGAATGGCTCCTGGCAAACCCTGTTTACAAATGCACTTGTGTTGGGAGCAATTAGCAGCGTGGCTGTGACACTGGCAGCTACTTATGCTGGCAGGTCCAGCCAGGACTCACCTCTTGGGCTCGCAATAACCCTTCTGTGCAGCTTTTTGCTTTTTAGCTGGTAGGCAACTAATCCACAGTAGCTGTCCTGCTGGAAAATCCACTGCAATCAAAGTATGAGAGGTTTTATTTTAAAACAACAGAGTGAAATTCAACAGCTCTGCTCAGCCTGGCTGTGTCTCAGTACATCTCAAGCACCTCATTTCTTGTCCTTGTGGAAAGCAGCCTTGCAGTTATTGTCGCTTGCCAGTAATGGGTGAAGGAACTTGGCAGATTTTGTGTTCCTGGTAACAAAATATGGGGGGGTTTGCCCTTTGTGTTGGAGCCAACGCAGGTCTGTACTGGCTGCCTGTGACCCATGGCATGGCTGTGGGGGACCATTCCCATCACATCCCAGTTTTCACTAAGGATGGACAAATGAAGCTCTGGCTGTGGGGATGTTTGGTTAAACAGCAAACTGACCTAGAGCTGTTGTGACTTTTTAAGGGTTTGCTACCACCCTTGCCACTTGCTTGCTTTGGCTACTTGTAGAGTGTTTTCCCCAGAGGTCTTGTGAATGTTTTGTTTCCCACAACACATGCAAATGTGATTGACAGTGAGCTATTCTGAGCTTTCCCGGGAATTTGCAGCTGGCAGGAAGGCTTCAGTGCAGCCTGCCCATCCCTGCCTGGAGCCAGGCATCCATGTGTTGTCTCTGCAAGCTCCCTGGGGCTCCTTGGGGCATTTGTTTCCCTCCACAACTGTTTTTAGGTTTACAAGCAGAGCCTAGAAACATACAAGTAGTCTCCCCTGCTGCCAGAATGGAAGCAGATAAATTCAGCCACATCGAGTGAGAGCAGATCTACAGCACAGGCCTGCAAACTTTTTTAGGTAGTTTCCAGTTCAGTTACTGAAAATTACTACTATGGTTTTACAAAGTAAAGCTGCAGGACTATTTTGTGGGTGTTTTGAGATTGCGGAACACTGACCTGTGGCCTTCTGGAGTGTAGAATGTTGTTAAAATGCTTTAATCACACAGCTGAGTATCACAGCCTGCTTTTGGCTTTACAGGCAAAGCCAGACCTTTTGGTCATTGGCAACAAGAACACGTGAGGTCTGCAATTTCTGAGTTTACCCCTAATACCCTGCCTCATTGCAGAGGCAACTGGACCCAAATAGCAGATGCCCTGTATAATGTAATGATGGTCAGAGACGTTACTCATTGATGGTGCAGTCTGCAAACTATTGAGGTGGAGTGTAGGAGGGGTCTTTTATTCTTTTTGATTGCCCCTCCTGTACCCCTGAAGCAAGATCTGCCTGGTGGGACCCTGGTAATCTGCCCTTGAAATAGTAAACTGAAGGGGGAATGTTAATAATGCCATCTGCTGCTGTCTGATGTTGTGTCTGACTTTGAAGTGCTAAGTTAAAAGCAGGGATAGGCTGATATGATCCTATGTTATCCTGACATTTTTTCTAGCAAGATAAACCGTAAACAGATTAGTACTTGGACATTGCAGTGCACCACCTGATGATGCATCTGTTTCTGTATTAGATTTCCTTCTCCTTCTTTGGGTTCCAAGTCCAGTGTTTCAGATGTGTTCACTACCTAAGTGTAGACAACCCTGTTGAATGCCCAGATATTTTTGTTCCCTGAATTTAAGATCAGTAACTATGGGTTAAGTGTTAAGTTTATCCCAACTAAATCAAGTCAGACTTCAGAATCTCTCTGACCTATTTCCCAAAGTAGTAGTGAATAGACTGAGGCACAAGCACAATTTAGTAATCAAGGGTTGTGTTTTTTTCCTTCCCAAATATTGGAAAGATTCTTTAATTACCAATCTGTACTTGCAGAATGGCCAGAGAAAAAAAAATATATTTTTTTTTAAGAAATTAAGCAATCCACTGTATATTTCAAAGGCTGTGCATTCAGAAGACAATTTCAGAACACAACAGTCATAGTGGCCACGAATTTTGGAAAGGGTAGTGGAATCATGCTTGTGCAAAGATCTGGAATAGCTGAGTGTGCAGCCTCAAAATGGATATAAATGGAATAATGTATTTGCAACTATGTATGTTGTACCCTTTGGGTTAAGGCAACTTTGTTCTCTGTGCTTCTAAACACAAAATACTGATGTGTGGCAATACATCTGTTTCTTAGCCAGCCCCTGTGAAAAAGAAGCGTCCTCCAGTGAAGGAAGAAGACCTTAAAGGAGCCAGAGGAAACCTTGCCAAAAACCAGGAAATTAAATCCAAAACCTACCAAGTCATGAAGCAGTGTGGTAAGTGTCCTTGATGGGAACGATTAAGCAGTTTTCCAAAGCAAAACATTGACTTTATTGGTCTTGTCAAGTGAAAGGGTGTGCCTTTGAAGCAGCAGCCAGCAGTGTGCTCACCACCCTGGCCTGGCTGTGCAGGGACTTTGCATCCACCATTTTGATGGCACCAAGAGGTGCCAACAGGGCTCTGCTTGGAGTGGTCGTTCTCCATGTCTGGACAAAGCAGAAGGGAGAGCCCTGACTTTGCCTTCTGAACCAGGGTTCAAACCAAGCCCTGGGGCCAAAGTCAATGTCAGTGACTGCCCAGTTTAAAGACTGGAGGCTTGGTCATAGATTGGGGAATTTCTAGTCTCTCAACTGGATCCATTTGGTGTGCTTGAGATAAAGCAGAAGTTAGGGGGAATAAAGGGCAGAAGGTGAGAGGAAAGAGAGTGGCTGCTTGCACTGAGCACCCCTGATACTCTTATGTTGCTTTTCCACTGCCAGTAAAAGCAAAAAATATTAATTTTAACCCCTTTTCAGCATAATAGCCCGAACTTCACCAGTTTCCAAGTTTCTGAAGCACCTGCAGGGATTTGGGGCCAGTCAGTGATAGAAAAACACCTACAGGTGCTGGCAAGTGCCCTGTGCTTGGGTTAGGAGTACAGTTCTCTAAGGTTTGGGAAGTTAATGGATGGATGAAATAGGTATCAAATGTGTATATATGAATTTCAGCAGCACTAGTTTTACTCTCTGAATTTGTTGTGCTGCTTCACTCATTGCCTCTCCTGGTTTTCTTTTCCAAGAACAAATGGGCTCTGCAGCACCTTCCATATTCAGCCGGAATCGGACAGGGGATGAAACAGTTTTTGATAAACCAAAAGAAGCACCAGCCAAGAGCGTTTTTGGCTGATGGTGGAGATGAATATGTCTCACCCACATCTTTGTTGTAATGTTTTCCCAAGTTTCTGCCCCTTACACAAAAGTCACCATAGGCCTTAGTAACTAATTTCTACTGTAAGTCATTAAGTAGGGAATAGAGTTATGTCAAAGAGTACAACTTCCATGTTAAATTTTGTTATGTTCTTTCTATGTATTGAGCCGTGTTTGCTATAATGGTTTAATAAAAAAAAAGTTGTTGGACATGTTTTGGCACACTGTGGTGACTGATTTCACTTTAGTCTAATTTCAATTCTGTGGATGTTTTGGCATTACAAGTTGTGACCTAGTCCATCAAATGCAAAGAATAAATATCCACATGTCACAGTTTCAGTGTCAGTGCAGTTTCTTCATGATGTGCCCTTACCAAGAGGGAGCTGAGGAGGAGCTGGTCAAAGAAGCGTCGCAGAAACCTGGAGATTTCACCCAAATCTGTGCCGATGGAAGCAGCACCCGGAGAGGCTTATCAGGTCTGGGGCTGTGCCACAGGGTGACCCCTCCTCACGGACCTCTCCTCGGGGCATCCCCCTCATACCCCCTTGCAGCTCCCTCTCAGTGCCGGGGTTTGCCCACGAGCAGCTCTGCTGGGGGGCAAGATGCCCAGTGCCGAGGGCAGGGCTCTCATCTCACTCCCTGCTGGCTCTTTCCCCTCCTCAGGCAGCACAGGCGCGTCCCTCTGGCCTGAGGAGCCCGATGGGCAGCTGAGCGTCTGCACAGCAACAAACCCACTCTGAGTGGCAGTTGGGGTCTTTTTGCAACTCTGTTTACATCTTGATTTGCTGCATCAAACCTGTCTTTTCCCCCACCCCCGGGGCTGTAAACCGGAGTGTTTTCCCTCAGCCCAGGGATGACGCTCCTCGCACCGAGGCCCCGTGCTGCCCTCGGTGAGGTGGGTGCCACTTTTATCTAAAGATTTACTCTCATTTTGCACTGCCTAGACCTGATTAAGATTGAAAGGTTTCTGTGTGCTGTGAGGCTTATAACCTTTGCCTTTTGTGTCCCAAATACACAGGCACGCCACGGCCGGGGTGCCAGGCCTGCCATGGTGGGAGCCCCGTGCGGTCAGACAGGCAGGAGCACCCACGGTGATGCTCCCCACATTCCTGAGCCCCCCCAAAAACCACCGCAGCCCGTAACCCCCCCGAGGAGACCCCTCAACCTTCAGGTGACCGCGGTTCGGTCTCACACTTGAGCCGCAAGGCTGCAGAGTGCGATGGGCATAATGCAGTGGCAAATCCTTTGGTTTTAAGGGGTAAGTTTCCCTAAAAAAACTGAAGAAATATCTGGTGCGTTGCCCTGCCAAGTTTTTTTGCACTTTTAAAGGTCACTATTTGCAGCTAAGACCCTGCCTTCTCTCTCTGCTGGACACTATTTCTGCACGGGGCCCGGGCTCCCCACAGGTAACTCAGCACAGCCTTTTCCTCTGAGAAAGACCCTTCCCAGAGCTTTAAAGGTAAAACCAAAACCAAACATGGTGGGGAAAAAAGTTTCCACCCTGGTAGCACTGAAGCTGTTCCTACATCAGGTTTAACAAACCCTCCCTGATTAACCTGTGATGAGAAGTTGGCAGAAGATTGTTTAATAATTAGAAAAATGATGGAGATGTACAAGCAGGACAGAACATTGTTATCACTTTATGCTGTATGAACACTGTAAATTTGCTAGACTATGTAGCAGGAGAGGGGAGGTGCTGTATTTCAGACCTTGTTTTGGGTGTGTTGGTGTCAATTTTAGCAAAGCACAGAAACCTGTGTGTCCCACAGACTTGCAGTGTGGATGCAGCAGGGAAGCAAAGCAGGTTATCTGCCAAAACCCGGGGATTTTGCTAACAGCTTTATTTCTAGGATGTCCTCGGGTTTAATTATTTGTGGTACTTCCCAGTGTAACAGTGAGTGCCCAGGACTAGGGTTCTTTTCTTTTTTTTTCTTTTTCTTTTTCTGCCTTTTAAGATGGACTTCATCTAAAAAATATGCATTGGAAGTTAAAGTGTATTGCTGGGATGAAGTGACTTCCCATTTGTGACAGCAAGGTTTGTGCTCTCCTGTATGAATTGCATGAATCCTTTCTGTCCCCAGCCTTGCTGTTGTGTTGGAAAAATTACTGGCTGCTGCTGCAGGACAGGAGGTACTTGTAGGTGAGAGGAACAAATATAAAGCTTCCTGGATAATTTTTTGTCATATTCTTCTTGATCCCTGAGAATCTAATAAGTCCAATAATGGAAAATGTGTTATTTTCCTTTCCCCTCCTCATTTTCATACGGAGAAAAAGTGATAGAGAGGGGTCTGAACAAAGCCCCAGGATTTGAGTTTTTAGGTCCTTTTGCACTTAAAAGTATCTCCTGTTGTGATGGTGAATTTAGATTCTTCCTCCAAAGTGGTCTGAAGTAATCTCACAGCGTCTGCATTCCTCAGAGTAGGCAGTACCAGGTACTGCAGGATTGGTGCCCAGTTGCACCAGCAGCAATGGGCACTGGGCATCAGCGGGGACAGATCTTGTTGGCTTGCACAGAAGCAGGGTAAGGTGCTTGAGTCTGGGGACAAGGCTGAACATGAGGTTTTCCAGCAGCTGCTTCAGCAAGCCAGAACGGGGTGCTGAAGGGATTTCACAGCTTCCCAGGTGCTGGCTCCTTCCTGCCCCCAGGAGCATGGGAGAGCCACCTCACAGCCTCTGTTGCATTGAAAGTAGCTCTTTAACATCCCTGTGATTTTACTTGTGGGTATTAGAAAGCAAATGACAGATCCACTTAATGAAGCTAAAGCTTAGTTCTTGGGGATATTGAGCCACTAAGTGTATAATCCTGTGTATTTTAAGGGATTAAAGCATTACATGAGTTGTAGAAGTTAATCAAATGTACAGCAGTTTTAATTTTTCTCTGTTAAAATGTACATATCTACATGTCCTCCTATAAACAATCCAGTATTTGCGAGTAGTATAAACAGTGCCTGGGAGAAGTGAATTTATTTTATTTTTTTTTTAAGTTACTTAAAGCACAAGCCTTGTAAGACCAGGCTGTACTCAACAGACTCTTTATAGGGAACTTGTAAATGTCTGTCAAAGCAATAAATTAGTGAACCCTAAATTAGCATCTCCTTGCAAATCTGCAGCCACTGAAACCCTGCTCTCCACCTTGACACCTTGTCTGTAAAATATGTATTTACACAGTATCTTTGTGTTAATTTAGGACAATTAATGGTATCACCTACCATGGAGTTATAAGGGGGGGAAATGCTGTCAAAAAGCAATATGAAAAAGTCTGTATGTGTGTGAACAGATTGCAGGTTTGGTTGAGAAAGGGCTGTCTGTGATCGTGGAGCTTCCATCATAGGGCAGATGATCAGCAAGATCACGGTTGGAGGGATTCAGCCTTATCTGCTCAGGGCTGAGAAGGTCTTTCTGGATTGCATCTCTCCACAGCATCAGCTGGTTGCACTTTAAGGTACCTGTGTACCTGTATGTTCAAATAAATACCCACAGGAACCAGGGGCTGATGCAGCAGCTGCACATGTCTAAGAGCTCCTCTGAACTACAGCCCTGGGAGATATTATTTTTCCTGTCCTCTTGGTATTTTCAAGATTTCAAACATTTTTTCTAAGGAATGAATGCAGAAATTAAGCCAAATGAAAGCTTTCCAAGAAGACAAGCAAGCTCCAGATATGTGGCACAGAAATGGCTCTTGACAGTTTGCTCCCTGACCCCCATTTCTCACTTTGATTTTTCCAGTTGCAGAGCTGAGGAGATGAACTTTTGAAATGGGTTCTGCCCAGGGTCTGTTTACCCTACTGCCGAAAAAAAAATAATTTCCCCATAATGTGTTTAAAATGCTTTGTAGAAGAGGCAGAAAAATAACTTTTAAATAGTCAGGAGAGCTATCTTGTGTTAGGAGACTATGTAAACATAGGAATTATATTAGTATAACACTGTCCATAATGATTTGTGTATAAAATCAGACTTTAAGATAATATCTTTTTCCAGGGCTAGAAGACAACCTTTGACCAACAAAAACTTCACAGGAACTGCTCCAAGTTCCTGTTGCATGAATATTTTGTTATAAAAATAGGAGGTGAGAAGCATCCACTCAGTTTCTGACTAAATTCAGGTCCAGATGCTCCCAGCACTAACTGTTTGTGCCAACAGCCTTGGATGAGTTAAAGGCAGCTTTGCAGAATCTGTGGCTGCCTACATTGCAGCTGTGGTAGGGCTAGACAAGGACAGATGTGCTCCTGTGCACGACTGTTGTTGCTCTCACTTTTAGGTGGTCTGTGTCTTTGCACACTTACATTCATGTACATACAGGCACTGACTTAGTGCTTTGACTCCTAGGATGTTCTGGCAAGGTCTGATTGCTTTGTTCTTGTTGTTTAGCCAAGGACAAGCCACCAAAGACTTTGCTGTTTGACCTACAAGGGTTATGGCTTGTCAGAGGAAGCAATAAGAGATGTTTTAAGAGAGCCACTCTGTACCTCTCATGAGCTGGCTAAGCAGGAAGGCACAAGGTTTGAAGAAGCACCAGCTGTAAAATATCATGTGAGTGTTGCACGTCTTTGCAATGCTGAAATCTCTGAAGTGCCTGAGGTAAGGCTAAGGATGTGCCCTTTCAAATTATTCCTGTCAGGTATCGTAGAGATTCACACATCCAAAAATGCAGCTTGTTGCATTGACCAGTTCATCTGTGGGTTTTCATGTGCCACAGGGAGATCTAAGTTTAAAATGAAAATATAAGTGTTTCTTTATTGTGCATTATGAAACTTTAAAATTCTAATGTTTAACAGCAAAGATCTTTGGAAAAATAAGCATTAACCAAGTAAAAGTTTTACCTATGTTTAACATGTAAATATTAAGTTTCTGAGTCTCTTCAAAGTCTGTGTAATATCCCCAAGTACAAGTTACTCATTAACTGATTAAGATAAATTGAGTTTTCATTTGAAAATCTGATCTTCAAAATGAAGGAAAGAATGTTGCTCTCATTGATGGTCTTTTCCTCACTCGTAGTATTAGCAGAAACTATTGCTCAAAAGGTATTTCTATTTTCTTTTTTTTTAACAATATCTTCTTTGTTCATTTGGTGATCCAGTGGTATGGCTGTAGCTGATCAGTTAATGCAGTTAACTCCTCTAGTAACCACCATCTACGGAGCCTCAGGTGTATTGTGATGTGATTTTAGAGCTCTGGGTCTTTTTAAGGCCTTTTTGTTGTTTGTTTGGGCTGTTATCATGTAACTGTGACAGAAGAACATTTGCAGATGTGTCTGATCATGCTCTGAGGTTAATCTTAGGTGATGTATTGGGGTGACACAGCAGCTGCTTCAGAGTACCCTGAGGAGGTAAGACCATGGAAAAAGGCTGCCAGAAGCCTTCTGTAGAACAGCAACACAGATGTGAGCCTGTTAATTTTGTGTGGGGCTGCAGTTGCACCTGCAGGGACGTGTGTGAGTAAGCAGGTGGCCAGTCATGAACAATTCCCTAGCTCCAATTCTGGCTGGACCTCATAACACCTCATTCCTTCATCAGACTTTTCCAAAAATATAATCTTAAGAGAAAAAACTGAGTACTTCAGTTTCAGCCTGTTTATTTTATTTGCAGCCTGCTATTGAAATCTACAGCCTCCACGTGGACTGCAAAGTTACATCACGATTTGCCCACACCATCATCACCAGCAAAATTGTCAACCGAGCTAATGAGTCCAAAGAAGCAACCTTTGAAGTGGAGTTACCCAAGACAGCCTTCATCACCAACTTCTCCATGTAGGACAAGTCCTTACCTGTGGTGTGAAGGAGGCAGCTCTGGGGAGCTGGGGGGGTGTTTCATCTTTCTTCTCAGGAGGTGCTGACAAAAACCACAAAGATCTGAGCTCTGGAGGGTGTTGCACAAAATGCTCAGTGGGGCAAAATAGGAAGCAGCCAAAGAGAAAGAAGGTGCCTGGGGCCAGGGCAAGGTTGCCTCCTGCACAGGTTGGGTGACATACGTGCTCACTGGAGGTGTTTCTCCTGCTCCAGCCTCCCCAAGACCCCGCAACGAGGAGGCCTGTGATGTGGTGGTGGCTCCTGGCATTCTCCTGGATGGGGAGGGATATGGGAACCAAACGGCTTTCCCTGATTTCTTTCCTCAGCTCTTTTCTTCTAATATTAATTAATTTTTATGGAAACCAAACAGGTCCATCGATGGTAAAGTATACCCAGGAATCATAAAGGAGAAAGCTTCTGCTCAAAAGGAATATGATGTTGCAGTCTCACGCGGGCAGAGCGCTGGCCTTGTCAAGTACGTTGCTGTCCTGAGGAAGGCTGCTCCAATATTCTTCCTCAGCTTCTCATTTGGCTGGGGACAGGTTAAACCCTGGACCCAGCCACCTCTCAGCTGGGATAAATGTGAAAACCAGCCTTGGGTTCTTGTTGGGTGGTGTGTGTGTGTGTGTGTGTGTGTGTGTGTGTATTCACATATATGTATGTGGCATGCAATGGGCGTCAGTGGAAGGTGTCACCCTTTAGTGTTGTCCTGGGACTTGCTATCACATGGGAGCACTCTGTCAGGCTGGGATGATGGTCAGGTGTTGAGTCTGCTTCCCTGCAAATGCAAAGGACCATGGCACTTGAGCAGCCATTACGCTTTTAAGAGATGTTTAATATGCGCTTCCCATGTATATGGTCCCAGTTCTGCTTGATCCCAGTCTGAGACATGTAGAGGTTTCTGCTCCACTTCTCAGCTTGCACATGCAGCACCCAGGGCACGCTAATGTAATACTTGTGAGGTATATAATAGCACCTGCAATGTAAAAAATCTTCTCTACGATGAGTAAGATGTACTGCTACTCTTTATTTATTTATTTCATGTAGCCCTGTGGCCATTATTTAGCACACTTCATAAACAGTGGCCACCACAAGGAAACCCTCCCTGCAGGAGGTAAATCTCCGTTCTCCCCCCCAAGAATCACAGGCAGAAAACTGGAGCAGTTTCACGTGTCCATCAGCATTGCAGCCTCCAGCAAAGTCACTTTTGAGCTGACATACGAGGAACTGTTGAAGCGGCAGCTGGGGAAGTTCGAGCTGCTGATCAAGGTCCAACCAAAGCAGCTTGTTAAGCACTTCCAGGTGAGGAAGGGCTGGGCAGGGACCAGAGCAGTGGCTTTTTGGGGCATGTCCATGTTCCCTTTGAGATGCTGATACTGACTTCTTCTCCATTGTCAGATTGATGTGCACATCTTTGAGCCCCAAGGCATACGTTTCTTGGAGACAGACAGTACCTTCATCACTAATGAGTTATCTGAGGCACTCACCACAGTGCAGAGCGAAAAAAAGGTAAAGCACACCCTGCCAGATGTTACTGCCCGTGGCAGCTTTCAGTTATGTTTCTTTAAATCTTTTCTTCTGATTGCTTTGCAGGCTCATATTTTATTTAAGCCAACTGTAGATCAGCAGAAGGTAAATCCTGAACTTAATGAAACTCTTCTCAACGGTGACTTTATTGTGCGTTATGATGTCGAGAGAGGTGCCACTGCTGGTGATATACAGGTAAAGCAGAAACAGAAATAAAAATGTTTTCAGATCATACATACATCTGCATGGGAAATCAGCAAAACAGCAACATTAACTTAGAAACACCAAGAGTGACAGGAAAAGCTGCTTTCATTAATCCGGGGGCAGCAGGCACTGATGGTGATATTCAGTAAACCCCCAGAGATACCAGACACATTGCAAGAATGGATCATTCATTTTAAAAAAAATCAATTTTTCAAAATTTGTTTCAATACCAAATCTGTACTGCCACTTTATAGATGTCTCTCTACATTATTTTTCTTATTATTTTGGCTGATCTGAAGTGTACTTGTGCCTTCTTGTAAATGAAGTTTAGAGAAATGTGATTTATGTAACTATTAAAACAAGTGCTTGGCTCTATTTTAATGTTTGTGACAATTGAGGCATATCTGAAGAGAGAAGAAACTTAAAAATATTTATGGAGCATTGTATCCTAGGGAATAAAGTACATTATTTCCCATACCATTTAACTAATGAGGTATACATGGATGTGCTAAATGATGGCAGTCACAGTCAATGAGCAGAGATGTGCTCATAGATGATAATAAAGAGGTAAGGTAAAATGCATTCATAATACAGATATATCATACATATAGTACTGAGGCACATTATATATATATTTTATAGATATATTTAAACATACATACATATATATATATATGCTGTTCTCTCATAATTTGCTGTCTACAGATAGTCTTGCTTCCAGCTAGGAAATACATTTCTTTGATTTGGGCTTATCTGAAACAGAATGCTGAGCATGGACCCCTTTTTCTGCTATGCCAGAATGTTAAGATGCAATATTTATTTAGATGTAATTTTATACATGATTTCACACTTTATATTTCAGATTGTCAATGGGTATTTTGTGCATTACTTTGCACCTCGAGAAATGCCAGTGATTCCCAAAAATGTCATCTTTGTTATAGATGGAAGTGGCTCCATGGCAGGCAGAAAAATTGAACAGGTAACTTCCCTCAAAGTACTGACCTTGGCTTGCATCAGGCACACACCTCAGCCTTTTCAGGAAGTGACTGAATTTCACTTTGGAAACACATGCTGGCTTTATAGATGGCAAACATTTTGTACATAAAGAAATGCTTGCAGACATGTATGCACAGATGTAAGGTAGGGCTGTTCTCACAGGTATCAAACAGTAAGGCAGAGAGCACTTTTTCTATCTCTGCTCAAACATTTTGCTTTTCATTTTCTAATGAAGTTTAACAAATTAATTTTTTCGGTTACCTTTATGGATGACTGTGTTAGTAGCTTTGCTAGAGAGCAGGCAAACCCTCTACAGCCCCCACAAGTGGGTTTGGGTTTTTTTTGTCTGTAAGTGAAGTGAATCAGCTGTTTCTGATTGTCTACCATTGAGACTCAATAAGGGCACTAGGCTGCATCTTGAGCAGGGCTTATTGCACTGCAAGTCCAATCTGAGCTGTGGCAGAAAAGTAGAAATACTCAAAGTGATTGTTTTCTCCTTGGAACAGACCAGGGATGCCCTGTTGAAGATTTTGCAAGACCTTCGCCCCGAAGATCATTTCAGCTTTATCACCTTTAAAAGCAGAGTGATGGAGTGGAAGAGCAATTTGCTGCAAGCCACTCCAGAGAACCTGGCGAGTGCTGCAGGATTTGTGCGAACTCTTTCTGCTAGTGGAGGTACCAGGCACCACCTAGATGCTTGAAAAAACAAATATGTACCTGATATTAAATTGTTTAGAAAATTGCATTAATTAGTTAAATACTGCTGTGGAATCAGTGCTCACAAAATGTTTTTATGAGAGATGAGTGGGATAGAAAGGCTGGTTATGGGAGTGGACAATTTGGTGGCTACATTATGATATGGATGTGTATATATAGAGATGGTTACATCACACCTCTCAACCATCCAAGCCACAAAGGTGGCTTTAGAACAGAGATGGCTGGAAGATTTCGTGCTAGTACTTTTTTTTTTTTTTCCTACAGAAAAATGGCAATTTGCTCAACATTTGAAAGCAGTTGGCTGATTTTTTTAATATCAGGGTCCCCTTGTGAAAATAAAATGCATCCAAATTTATACTCTTCCAGAGTATAACTCTTTCACTCTACAGAAACAAAATGGTAGCAATAGACATGAAGCATTTCAGTTGTTGCATCTCTCAGTGTGCTTTGTTTCATTACTCTGTTTTAAGCTCATCTAAAAGACTGTTATCTCCCATTAATGTTATGCTGTTTTGTATTAACCTAAGTTTTCTTATCCTAGGTTATAACATCAGTAAAGCCCACCAGTGCCCAGCTCTTTTCTTTGACTTCTCAAGCAAGGCTAGGAGACATTTCTTAAACATAGGTTAACAGATGACAGTGTGCTTATTCAAGCACTTTTAAATGGCTCTAGACATGTTTGTATTTGGCCTGACGTGTGTGGAACGTGCTCCCAAAAGAATACTCCAGCACTGTCATTGCAATATAATACACCAAAATTAAGCCCATTAGGCTAAACCCCTAAGTCCCCATCTCTCTGAAGGATTAATTCCTGCAGAGAACTTCAAATGGCTCTGCAGAGCCTCGGCAGATGGAGTGTGCCAGTTTCTTCAGGTGATGGCCATTTCTGGTGAGTGCTGCCTGCTTCCTCCTGACAGGCACAGACATCAACGGGGCCCTGCTGACGGCGGTGAGTGTGCTGGAGAAAGCTGAGGAGCTGCCAGAACGGAGCGTCTCCATGATCATTCTGCTGACAGATGGCCAGCCCACTTCTGGTGGGTAAATACCAGCCTCAGACCTCTCTCTCCTTGACTTTTTTTCTTTTACACTTGCATCCCAGGTGTTGATAGACATGGTCTGTGTTTCAGAAGAATATTGGTATGAGCAGGTTTGGGCCATCGCTGGGTCTGTGTTGGAGAGAGGATGGTTATGAGAGGGCTCTGGCAAGCGCTGTAAGAAGGGATGGCAGAGCCTGCCCATGACCACATCCTTTAGCTGGGATCTGTTTTGCTAAATACCATTGGCTTCTCAGTTTATAAACTAGAGGGAACTGCTGGAGTTAATCCAGGCACAATTCAAACCTGAAAGTAAAATGCTTAGTGCCAAAACATCAACATACTACGTACGGTTTCATGCAAGAGGTATTGCTTATATTTCTTCACCCTCCTTGATCCAAACTTGAGATATTTCAAGGTGCCTTTTGTTTTGTATTCTTTTCTGTGTCTAGATCATTACTAGAGATCAGCTATGCTAGCACAAACCAGAGGCTTGAGATAAAAATTTTGGGCTAAACAAATAATAACTCTCAATGCAATGGCACAAACATCACTTGTTCTGAACAGGAGTTTGTATTTTGTGTGACACCAGCATCAGTCCAAGGACAGCAATATTAATTCAGCTGTAAGCCTCTAATAAGATTTATCTGCCTTTCAGACCATGGGATCTGCACTGCTTTTGGGTTGTTTTCTTTGTTTGGATTTTTTAAATAAAATTCAGCTCACATTGCTGCCAGCCACAGCGTGTCTCAGATTTCCTTGAGCACGTTGCACATCCACAAGCTGGCTAGAAATTTGCCTGGAGTTCCAGCCATATACATGCACTGTTACTGCATACACTGCCTTCCTTGGCAAAGCAGGCTGAAAGGGAAAAATCTGAGCTGCTCCCATGGTATTGCTACAGGCAGTGACAGTTCCTGTCCCAGAAATGCTGATGGAGAAGCTCTCCATACAAGGCCATCAGCAGTTCTTCAAAGGGGTAAGATAATCTTGCTGAGAGAGAAGCATGGCTGAGTTAATTTGCAGTTTGTCTGAATTACACCATTAACTGATCCATTCTTCTCTGAATTCACACACATAATTTTTATGGATGGTACTTGTCTTCCCAGTGCTTCATCAAGTGTTTCCATCTCTTGCACTGTTAACTCTTAGTGTGTGTCCCTTTTGTTCTAAAAAGCCTCCTCTGGCCCTCGTCATCTTGTAAAATATTTTGCACTCAGCCACGATGGCATGAGCAGAAGTTCGTAAAAGTCATTTAGAGGGAGAACCAGGCTCTGGCATGGTGGTGATTTCATCTCCAATGCAATTAATGGATTTCTGTCCCATATATTTTAATGTTTTATTCTTAATTGGTTTTAAAATACTTTAGGCAGTATTTTCCATTAAACCCACTGCTGTCTTTTTGTACTTCAAAAAAGCCAACGAAACAAGGGTATATTTTTGTTTCAATTACAGGTGAGAGGAATGTGGAAGTAATTCAAGAAAACATTCAGAAAGCAATCAATGGGAAATATGCTCTTTTCTGCCTTGGCTTCGGGTTTGATGTCAGTTATAAATTCCTGGAGAAAATGGCCCTGAGCAATGGAGGAATAGCACGTCGAATATATGAAAATGCTGATGCAGCCTTGCAGCTCCAGGTCAGGAATAAGGAATAGGGCAGATAAGCCATCTATCAGCTTTGGCTTATGTCTAGTCATAGCAGCAAACCCACAGATTTTCTGAGATGAAGGCTTGGGTTTGAATTCATCGGATAATTTTGGGGAGGGAGGAAGGGAAATTTGGTGAATCTGTGGGTTTGTGCTTCAACGTTGGCTTGGAGTGGGAGTTTTAGTCAAATCAGCTGCATCTAGACAAACCTGGAAAATCACACATTGCTCCTGCAAAAAGACAAAATGTCTGGAGGGGGTGATGGTAGAAAAACTTTCGTTCTCAGGTCTGATTTCAAACCACTTGCTGTACCACCATTGGAAGCCTTTTGTTTTGGTTTTCCTAAAAATCAGGAGGTAGTTTGAGGTGCCTACAGACAAACTGGCTCCATAGTACCACCAGCCTGGATTTTTCCTGCCCATCTAGTGGGGGGTTGTAGCTTTAGGGACATTCTCTTTTTTGGGAAGCCACTTCTAGCTGTTTTGGCTGGATGTGCACAGACTGCATTTGCTTAAAGCCAGTCCTGGTCCAGAAAGAGAGAGATGAATCCTCAGGACTAGTCAAGTTTAAACAATCAGATGTGAAATGTGACTAAAGCAAAACAAGTAAATGGATGGGATGGTGATAATGGGGATGCTGCTTGGGTTACTTGGATTACCTTAGGAAATACAGTTGATATGGCATGGCCAGCCTGACTGGAGAAGGTTTGCTGATCCATGGGAAGAAACAGGGTTTTTTTCTAGTTTGCGACAGTATTGCAGTGCTGACAAAAAGCTTTGCTCCCTTCTTTTTAAGGGAGATTTAGACATTCAACATATTGCTTTGTATAATTTTGCAGTCATTTGTGTGCTCTGTCTTCATCTCTTTAGGGCTTTTATCAAGAGGTGGCTACCCCAATATTAATGAAAATTGAAATGCAGTATCCAGAAAATGCTATTGAAGGATTAACCAAGAACAATTTCGAACTTTTTTTTGAAGGATCTGAAATTATAGTATCTGGAAAAATTAGCAATGACCTTGATCTTTTGCCAGTAGAAATTAAAGCTCAGACAGTAAGTATTTAGTTTACTAACTGTGAAAAACATAACTCCTTTCTGTTTTTTATGGTGCAACAGGCGACGTCAAGAAATTTTTTGTAATATATGTTCTAAAATATGTTTTCTACCTTTGGGCATTCAGCTGTTTTCCCATTTGAGGAAAATATTTGAGAATTCAAACAATTTCCCCCTTCTGAATTTGCTACAAAAGAAAAACTTTATATCCACAAATAAGCAAACAGCAATTTTAATCCCTTCAAAACCATAGTATTTTGGCCTTTCAAGATTTTTTAGGAAACTAGTCAGTATTTTTAGAATTAAGGAGGAAATCTGAATTATCTCAAAAATGTTGAAACAGAACAATTTCTTGACCTTCTTTTTTCAACATTGTTTCAAGTCCAGAGGTACACATCCAAAATACATGCTTCTTTGCTAGTTTGGAATTGCATCTTCCAATGGGAAAGGACAAAATTGAAGGACAAAAAGGACACTTTGGTACTGGAAGATGTTCTTTTAAGTCTAATCATGTGACTATAAAAGAAATGTGGAACTGTTCTTCTGATGGTCAGTTTTCTCCCACTGCAGCATACTAGTGACTTGACTCTTAAAGAAGAAGCAAATGTTGAAGAGAAGGAGCAAATATTTCAAAATCAGAGTTACATCTTTGGAAATTTCATAGAGAGACTGTGGGCTTATTTAACCATTCAACAGCTTCTGGAAAAGTCGTAAGTCATTTTATTGCTCTGCATTACAGATTTCTAACTTCTTAAAACACAGATTCCTTACTCACAAATTATATGATTGGAAAACATAAACAGAAAGATTTCCGGAGATTGTATTAAAAACATAGTGTACTAGAGAAACACTGTGTGAGAAACATGAGGTGCCTTTTAGTTTATGATAGCACTGATCATTACATATGCGTATATATATGTATATGCACATAGGAAAACATGAAGTATTCTTCATTGCATTACTATGAAATAGATTTTAATTATAGGTATTGTGTTGAGCTGTGTCTCCATGCATAAATATTGTCTGAAGATAAGTGAATGGCAATAGCTAGTAAAAAGAACAAAAAGTATGTCCATCAGACATTTCATAGAACATATATCTATTGTTTTTATGTATTTGAAGTATATATAGTCTCCAGTGTTGCAAACAACTAAGCATCTCCTTTTCAAGCTGAGTTATCCTAATAAGATTACTTACTCTTCAATAATAAAAAGTATCTGTTAAGACACAGCTAATATGAAAAGGAATCTGTAGTCTCTACACAATTAACACAGACTTGGAAGCCCCCTTCCTGGAAGTGTTCAAGGACAGATTGGATGGGGCTCTGAGCAACCTGGTTAGTGGGAGGTGTCCTTGCCCATGCAGAGGGGTACATCTAGATGATCTTGAAGTCCCTTCTAACCCAAACCATTCTGTGATTCTATGATGATTCTATGACTTTAGTATTTCAGCACAAGAAGAGGACCAGAAAAAGCTGGAGGCACAAGCCTTAGAGCTGTCTCTGCAGTACAGCTTTGTTACACCCCTCACTTCCATGGTGGTCACCAAACCTACTGGCCATCAGCAGATGGAGCTGGCCAACAAACCCACTGAAGCTGGTAAATGGGGCATTGAACAGCCCCTCTGAAATACGCTGCTGTTTTTGATGATTTGGTTTTGACATCCAGCATATCTTCATTTTATAGTGATGTGGCACAGTAATAAGCCACACCAGAGGGAGGAGTTCAGGGATTAGCTTCTTTTCAAACTAAAACACACAGGCTTTTTCTAAAAGGTGAAGTAGTGGAATGGGCATCCCTATTGAAATGGGAAATAATCTGTTTAATTCTGAACTTTTGATAGTTTAACAGTTGTTACTCAGCATTCCTCCCTCTGCAAAGGGATTCTGCACTTTGTAGCATTAAATTGGAAAATGAATGTGGGGGAGGAAATAATGCATGTGCTCTGGCTAGCTATCCTTTAATGCAAAAAGCTCATCACCTGAAGCCCAAGACCCACTTGTCCCCATTTTCTGGTTTACACATGGTAAAAGTAATTTCATGTCCAGTGTTTGACACTAACCTGTCCCTCTTCTTTGTGTTAGAGAATGAGAAGCTCCACAGTATTCCAGTAAGAGGTAAATGTTTTCTTCTTTTCCAATAGCATACTCCATAATATTCTCTAATAATACTAAAAAAAAATAGATTAAAAGAGCTCATGGTGGTTGCTTTATAGAGGGAAGTATCTGATATTTGGAAAAATATGTGAAACAAAACCTAAGCAATGACTGGGAAGGTCTGTGAAGGGTTTGGGTGGATAATACGGTCAAAGGGATAAAATCTTCCCTACAGAAAATCTCAAGAGCCAAAATTGTCTTTACTCATGAGGAAAAGTAGTTCCTCAGATCAACAGTGTTAGTGATGTTTTCTGCTTCTTCTTACCATCTGGAAAGCATCTGTTAAAAAATTAAGATCAAGATATTTTGGAATAACTTCTGAGGATTATTTCTTGTTTTGGTTTTATTTTTTTTCTCTCTGGAAAGAATAGATCTGTTTGAGTATTAATTTTAAACTTATGGCATTATTAACCTGATAATTCCAGCTGTGATAATACATTATTATAGCAATGCTTTCATAGGTGAAGAGCCCTACTTTGCTCTAGCTCTTTCACAGAAATGTATTGAGAGAAGTACAAAGCTGTCTCCCTCACTCAAGCTTGCCTGTTTCAAAGTGGTGTGGGGGAGTTTAAAAGCAGAAAACTCCCTGACCAGAATCATGGCCCAGCTCAGGAGACACACAGAGCTTGGTGCTGCAACAGCCCCACCACCCCACGTTGTCCCCATGCATGGCGTGGATGAAGCCCCCAGGCATCCACCAGGCAATTACATCCCTTTTTGCAAATCCCTTCCTCACAAATTTGTTAGTAGTTTTTGTCCATTTCCATCATTTGGCTGCAAATATTTTCCAGGGATCAGTGTTCATGTCCTGTGGACTTCATTACTGCAGATAGCTTACTTTGGGAAAGGAAGGCAAGTGCAGCTGGAGAATTACAGATTTGATGTTGAAACACTCCCATAAGGTATGTAATATGATCACAAATAAAACACAAATACTCTCTTTTCTTTCTCCAGCTCATATGAGACTGAGGAGTGGAGCTGCTGGTAAGTGCTCCTTCTTTGTTTTTATTCAGAATAATTTCATAAAGTTAATTTCATAGGTAGGTTCATAGCAACATTAATACATACAAGACAACGGGTAATGGGCGTAAGTTGCTCCTGGGGAGATTCCAGTTGCCACAAGAGGTAAATTTTTCACCATGAGGACAGCCAAACATTGGAATAGTCTCCCAAGGAAAGTGGTAGATTCCCTCACATTGGATAACTTCACAGGGTGCTGAGCCATCTCATATAGACTATAGTAGTACCTAGACAAGTTGACCAGATGATCCTTGAGGTCCCTTCCAACCTGGTATTCTATGATTCTGTGGATTCCCACTTGATATACAGTTTAGTTCGTATACGTACTTCAGCCCACAGGTATTTTATAAATGAACTATAAACTTTTGAAAACAATCTTGGTGCCTTTTCAGAAATAAAAACTTATTATACCTCTTGAAAATAAATATGAAAGATCTGGAAAAGCATATGTTAGTTACTCTGTAGCAGCTATCAAAACTTCAGCTCTAAATCCTCTTGCAGCTCAGGCTGAGCCTGCCCCAGTGGCACGGATGATCCCAAGTAAAATGGGCATTGGACTCTCTTTTTCCCACATAGGGACGTCTTGTTTTAAACAAGGCTCTCTGTAGAAGTCAGTGAAGAGCTCTGCTGAAAAGGTTCCATCTTAGTATTCTTCTTTGTTAATTAGACTTAGAGAAAAATGTTTCATTAAACTCTTCTTACTAATTTTAGTTATTTCAGCTGTCAGGCTAAGAGAAAAAATGAGAGTACAACCTGTTGGTAAGTAAGAGGTATGCTTGTCTCATTTTAATAAATAGTATAACTGTAATATACACTTTTTCATACTATAATGGTTTTTTCTGACTGCACCAGCTCTATGAAAACCCTTTACCTCTTCTTGCAAATCTTGGCTGCTTCTTTCCACATAAGTGAAAAATAGCCCCATATCCCATGAGAAAGCCTCTCTGGCTCAAGGGTATAATGACCCAAAATGCAGTACAACAGATCCTCACCCTCAGCTTTTTTAAGGGCTTAAATAAACTCTAAGTTTAAAAATCTGTTGTTTTCATTCATGTCAAGGTGTTCTAGCTGTGCTTTTCAATAATTATTGCTGTGTTGATTTCAATCCTTTTATTCTATAGAAGCTATAACTGATATTTTACTTATAAATTTATTAAGTCATTTTTACTATGCCTATCCCAAAGCTAGATTTTTCTTTGCATGCCAACATTGTTCTTCTGGCCTTTCAGCCACGGAATATCCACAGCTTATCTTGCAATTACCCCAACAAAATGAAATAATCTGCTTAAATACTGATGGAAAGGCACGACCCTCTGTTCACCTGCTGTCGGATCCAGAGCAAGGTGAGTGAGCCAGGTTGTCCCTGACACCAAGGAGAAGGAAAGGCACTTTGCTCTGTGAGAGCAGTTGGTGTCTTTGGGAATAACCTCGTCCATGAAGAGCCATAGCATACCTGCTGCCTCGTAGTGACCCAGGAGGCAGGGCTTAGTTTTTTCCTTGCTATGAGGCAATAGGAACTTTCACTCTGCAACAGCTGAGGGCAGTTCCGAAAGGTCTGATTGTGGGTCACCTTCTTCTCCTACTGGTGTCCCCTCCATGGCCTTTATGCTTTCCCCCTATACCCTTCAAGACTGCTGAGGATGCAGAGACCTTAAACCCTGCGGTCCCTACATGCTACCAGGAAGATGCACACTCTTAACACAGAGCAGTGTTTCCATGGTCCTGTACCCAAAGGAGCCATGGCCCCATAATCTACTCTGATTGTGGAGCAGAGAGACCTCTGTGAGAGGAGGTGGCAATGTGGGGTTTAACAGACTTTGGTGACCTCACTGCAGTTTTGAGGGGGATGTGGAGCTGAAATCCGGGGGTGCTGTGCATCCCAAAACTAGATCTGAGTCCCGTTAGCTGTTTCAGTATCAAAGCTGAAGCACTTTTATTAAGAACACTTGTCACAAAAGCCCAGTCGTTTGACAGATCTGTGTCAATGTTATTAAAGGACTCACTGTGACGGGGAAACTTGGGGACAAAACAAATCACTTTGTGCATTTTGAAATTACCTACATGAACCCCCCTGCACAAGTCCACATCTCCATGAATGAGATTGTCCTCAGCCACAATAACAAGAGCACTCGGATGCCATGGACAGAGTCAGCCACCTCCACTGTCCAGGGGTAAGAAACATCAGCCACCCTGTCCTTTCTCAAACTTGAAAATGTGAGTCATATTTATTTCATCCAGGCCTCCACTTTCACACATGCCTTTTGCTGCAAGTAAGTACTTCCAAATGTCCTTCTCTGGTGAGTAACTCAACACAAATGTAAGCAAGTACCTTCACAACCCCCCACTTCAGATACTGGGGAAAAAAAAAAAAGGGGTTGATTTAATTCTCCATGCCTATGTAAGAGAATAAAAACAACTGCAGCACCAGCCTGCCTTTCTGCTTCAACGTCAGAGGGAGAACATTTATCTTCCAAAGAAAAGGACCCACTGTGGCACGTAGCAGCCCCTGTGCCACCACTGTGCTGGCTGCCACCAGGCACTTAGTGTTCCTCCAGCTGCAGAGCGAGTGCTGCGCCGTGATGGCTTTGACATTTACTGTCTCTTTTATACAGCAGTTGGCTCCACACAGGCTGAAGTTTTCCTTCTCAGTTTCAACAATAACTCACATCTGGGCAGCTGACATGTTTTATGGGAAGGCATAAAGTGTTTGAATAGCTGTGTGTAACTAACTGCCCACTGTCAGAGAAAGGGTACTTTAAACATAGAGTTCCTTGGTTGGACTAATTAGAACAGGGTCCTTCACAGCCATAAGAGCGAGCTGCATGTAGCTAGTTCCACCAGAATAAACCTTCTTGGAGGATCTGATGTTGATTTGGGGCAGGCAGGACAGCAGCACTTCTAGACAATAACAGAAGTCCTCAAACAGCTGCTTTCAATTATCTTTGTAACCCAAACGGAGCCAAGAACATGCTGGATTTATGCCCCTCTCTGATTTGTTGTCTGCCAAGCAGAATGATCCTCCTGCTTCAGACCAGCACCCAGGCCCCCACAACCACAGCACTGTGCACACCAGGGTGTGTGGGCATGTTTTTGTCCTGATCTGCAAGGGAAAAAAAGTCAGTGGATGTTTGTGTTCTGCAAATCCACCTGCAGTCAGACTTAAATTAATGGGTTAGGAGAAAGGCAGGGTCTGAAAAACCTGTGAAATATCCAAGAAAAAATATTTGACTTGTTAATGAACTACACTGAATTATTTTATCTAGTGAATTATTTTATCTCGTCTACCCTTTCTCTCATTAAAATTATGAAATAGTCTCCCCTTCTTTTTTCCCCCGTCCAACTATTTCAAGTAATTTGGAATAATAAGATGTTTTCATCAGCAAAAACTTCTTCTCTGGTGTACTTGCATGTAACATGATATGTGAAAGATCTGTTGTGCAGCCTAGAAAGAAAAGATCTGCTACTTAGTATTTTCTAGCTTAAAAATAACCAACATATCATGAAAAATGCAGAGAGACAAAAGGCAAAAGTGGAATTATTTTAATTAATTAATGTCAGCTAGTTAAACACATACCTTGTCTTCATATGCTTCTCAGAAATAACCTCATAATTTACTTCCTAGGCTGAAAGTCTCAGTGGAAAAGGAAACAAGTGTCACAGCACTGTTGTCTGATACAGTCACAGTAAAAGTTTCCTTTATAAAGTTTCCAGATGGTTTCCTCGGGCTGTATTTCCTGAACACAGACCGTTTTTCTGACAAAGTCAGTGGAGTTCTGGGTATGTATCATTATGGATGGATGCAGCAAAGAGGGATGATCTTGTAACTAAGCTTCTTCACTGAGAATATCGTGGGGTTTTTTTCAGCCACATCATAAGCCCTTATTCAGATTTTACTTCCCTGGGTCCTGACAAGCGTCCATGAAAAGCAGCGGGCAGGGAAATCTAAAGAAATTTTACATTTAATTTATTCTTTTCAGACATGTCACATCACTTTCTATTCCTCTTTCTATTTCTCTGTGAAGAAGGGAGGTCTTACCCTGGAATCGTAACACAATGCTTTTCCACTCACCAGTGGTACAAGCCTAAATAGACTATTATGGGATTAGAAAAATGTTAAAATAAGACTAAAATAATAGCTGGACTTAACCTCAACAGTGTTGGGAATGACAGCAAATTCATTTGATGTCAAATAATAGGCTATAAATAATGGACATAAAATTTGTAAACAGTCAGGGTTAGAAAATAAAAGCCAGCTGGTCCTGAACATCTCAAGCCCAAAAATCCTGGCAGGACTACAGCTGAAGACGTTTCAAAAGCTTTGCAAATGGGGAGGCATGTTCTAAAAAAAATGGGGAGGCATATTCTATTTTCACCTCAAAAAAAGAGTGAAAACCCAGCAGAGCAAGGCTGAACCTCTCAGTGGAGGAGTGGTAGGGACAACAGGAGATCACAGCTGAAAAGTGGGGATTTTCTCAAGTAAGGGAGCCTCCAAATCTGGCCAGGTTTTTTTTGTTTTGTTTTCTTTCTGAGGTAGGTGGCTGCTTTCCAGGTGTTGTAGCTGCCAGAACGGCTAAATTTACAGCAATACTCAGAGGTTTTGTATTTTGAAATAATTTGCATGTCTGTTGCTTAGGTCAATTTTATTCAAAAGCACAATTTGAGAATAATTCCAACATCAATCAGAGAGCTGATGAAAGACTCCTGAATGTGTCTGGATCTGAGCACAAAGCCAACAGGTAACAGAGATGGGATAAGTGTGAATGGTGCACATGCTTTGAGATGCATTTTATCAGGTAATACCAGAGATCAAAAGAAATTACAGGAGTGTTCAGAAGAACACACCCCTTTGGTGTAAGTCTTAGGGACTCGTGCTTGATTTTCTCCCTAACAGCCAGAATTTGTTGCTTGTTAAGTGATGCTACAGGACTAAAGGCTCCTATTTCACAGAGAGTAGAAAACTATACTCTGGGGCTACTGTTTGTATAAAAGATGCCAAACAGAGTAAGATTCTGCTGTGTCATTTACATGGATAAGGGAGGGTTTTCCTCAGTTAGAATTACCATGAGAAAAAATGTTACACTTCTGTTGCTTTTAGGAAGTGTTTGTGATGTGAAAGAAATGCTGTAAGCATGCAGCTTATGCTCGCTGTCCCTCTGTGTCCCCACCACTGCTGTCTCCAGCTCTGGAAGCTCTGTCCTGCCCTTTTATTTTATCACAAAGTTTTCTTATTTTGATTTTATTTCAGGCAATACATGAAAGATTACAGGCTTGACTCAACCCGTGATTTTGTTTCCTGCTGGTCAATAGATTTAGTTCCCTAGAAAAAAGTATTCTGGGAAAGAAAACTATGCAGATGATGGTCTTCCAAGTATTTTTGATACTTCCCCTCATCAAGAAAACCACACAGTTAAAGTGTTTCCTGTTACTACAGAAAAATATCACAAATCTCAACATAATTATGCTTTTGAGATGAGAATGTGCCTGCTTGTTGTTTGTTACTTGAAAATGGTTTCTAATACTCAATGTGGCGACATTATTAAAGATTGATGTGAATGTATTAAATAAAATTGACCTTATCAGCTCACAATTTGGTATGGACACACAGACTTTGGTCTCTGAATAAAAATAAGTAGGCATCATCCAACCCAACAAATACGTCCTGCAAACAGTAATAGATTTCTGAAATGTCTACCCTCTCTATCCAGTTGCAAATTACTGTGTTCTTGAGCTACGTGTTTTGTAAAAAGAGGATGAAGTTTATCATTTTTGTAGTGCTCATAGTTTAGTTTAGTTTACTATTTCTTCCATTTTATTATTTCATGGGGAAAAGCAGTCTTCTTCTGTTACGATTTTTTTGGAGATCCTTCTCTAACAACCTCCTAAGCTGATGAAACTGGTAATGGGGCCAGCGCAGGGATGGCTGCAGTCCCCTTCACTGTTGCAAAGTTTCTGTGGCTCAGTTTCAAAAACCTCTGCAAAACAGATATTGGCTTGTTGTGAAACAGACCTGACTTGTTGCAAAAGGGAGCATTGCTACCCAGAAATTGAGCAGCCTTTTTGTTTTGGCACCATTTCATACAACATTTTGCAAACATTGGAAGATGTTCTACAAATAATGAAGAACTCAAAACAACATGTGGTGCAGGAAGGTAACGTTTCAGAGGAAATGTAGGGACAGAAGCTTCTGCCTGTGGAACGCAAGTTGTAGCTTTAGTCTTCAGGTTTTTTTCATATATTTTAATTCCAAAATAATTTTGAGTTTTAGAATTTCAATCCCTGTGTATCTTTGAACCGACAAATATGCCAGCATTGTAGAAGTTTAACAAAAATTGCTTTCTATCCTGTCAATAATATATAACTGGAAAAACCTTATTATTTTAAAGCAATGTACTAGAAAAGAAGCAATTCCTTGCCAAAGTCAGTAAGATAAAGCAAACTATGTAATGAGAAGCCTGTTTTTTAAAAAGAACTGTGTAGACATTATGCCAACATATGTTTGTGTGAATTGCTTGTACTTCCAAGTTGCAGACTTGGAGATGCAGATTTGACAAATTAAGTGGCAGACAATGTGGAATTTGTAAACTGGAACCACCAGATTGCTCACTTCACCACATCATAAACAGGCTTCCTAATTTGCCAAGCAGCTTATTATAAATGAGCTTGGTATTTGAGTTACATGCTGTTGATGATGGGTTTTATCAGTGGACTTACTGCAAATTAGAAATGCTTCACCTAGAGGGTGTGTACATGTTGCCTCCTCCTCCTGCCTGATAACTGCAGGGACAGCAAATAGCACTGACAGGGCAGCAATGAGGCTGGAGGGCATCTTTCACCTGGTCCCCTCTCTTTGACTGGGGTTTAGGTGTGCACAGACCAGTCTTGAGAGATGCTTTTCCAATCTATCTGCTAAAACCTGCAGTGCCCAAGGTTCCTCAAATGCCCAGGCAGCTGCTCCTCTGGTCATGGAATTGTCCCTTGCTGCAAAGCAGCAGATTCTGCTAACCTTAGCAGATAGGAAGAAAACCAGATGTCAGCCTTCCTCACAACTTTTTATGTAGCTGAGATTTTTCCACCCTTGTTCCACAAAGTCTCTGCAAAGCTTTTCCCATCCTCTGGACTGCATCCCATTTCTCTACACTGTTGAGGAGCTGTGCCCAGAGCCACACAGCGCACAGCCCCCAGCTGCCCTGGCTGATGGAGCCTTTTGGGTCTTGAGAGGTGCTTGCTGGTGTCCCCACAGGCATGTCCATCTTTCACAGCAGCAGCCCTGTGCTGCTTGTGTGTCTGGCTTCTGAGACTCCCAAATCCTCCCCATGGTATGTCTTCCCCTCTGCACATGTGCTTTCTGCTCCCTAAGTATGTTCCACTTCACTCTTTTTCACTTGAATTGTGTCTTAATTTGTTCTTTAGTCACTCTTCTCCTGACCTTTGCAAGCCCTGAAAGGAGTTCTGAGGGGCTTCTCCTGACTTTTGCAAGCCCTGAAGGGAGTTCTGAGAGGCTTCTGATTCCCTGCACTCCCTTCCCTTGCTCAAGAAGCTGCAGGAAGACACAGTAAATGAGTATTTTGCATTCTGTGATTTCTGATTTAGGTGCAGAACACACAGTGCACCTCACACTCTTTTAACTAGCATTGTACCAGTTAATGGTAAGAGTCACCTCTAGCTACTTCAGCAGTTATCTCCTCCCATGCAGGAATCCTGGAAGAATTATGTATTAAAAAGAGGATTTTCTCTCTCCAGCAGTGTCAATGGGAGTTTCTCAGGCTGCCTCTGAAGCCAAAGCAGACTGCAGCCCCTGGGGTCAACTTCTGGGTGACAATTCAGCCACAGCCAACAAGATTCCTGCCACCTCCAGAGATGTGCCTCATCCCTGTAAATTAAACAGGAAAGCTCTGGCTCCAGCCGTGCCCAGTATTGTCTTGTGCCTAAACTGCCAGCCAGGTAGGTTGAGACCTGCTCTCCACTGCTGAGGTAGTTTTGTTTTAACAGAGCAAGTGTGAACAGGACCAGTCCTGATGGGCAGGATCCAAAGTGGATCTTTGCTTTATTTTGTTTTCTAATTAATTACCTTAGAGTACAGACTCAGAATCATGTAAACATAACCTTACTAGTTTCAGTTTTCTGGTCTTCTCTTACACCTTCCTGTTTCTCTCTCTGCCTTCCACATCCTTCAGTAATCTGTCACCTTCTGTAGAAACCACTGTTTTCTTTCATAATTTTGTCTGAATACAGCAGGCAGAGATATCCAACCTCTGTGACACCCTCCTCCCCATAAGAAATTAATGCTTTTCTTCTTCTACAAAACTTCTGCTTTTAATAAAGGATTTGTTCCTGAAGAAGGCCTGTCTCTCTCTTAACAAGAAGTATATTTTTCCTCTATTTTTTTCTTCTTTGATTTTTCAATTGCATTTCTGTTCACCTCTACCTTTGTTCTTTCAATTTAACCCATCACATTTTATGCCATCTCTGTTTTTCCCATGACATCCCTGTTTCCTCATGTGTGTCTGTGTTCCAGTCACTCACATACTGACTTTTTCTCCTTGTGTATAGGATAATATATTTGTAACTAAATTTAAGGAATAGTAGGCAGATTTTCTACTTTGCCATGTGAAACCACAATTGCCTTGCTAAGGCTGATTTGAAAGAATACTCAAAGTAAATAAGAAGTCTGCTTTTTTTTGCTTCTTTTTTCTTTTTTTTTTCCTTTAGAACTCAAAGCTTAAAATTTCTTCCAGTACAAAATGAATATATAAATAAATGGGACATTTCTTGCCTTGAAATAAGTATATGAATGCTGTTGCAGGAACAGAAGGAGGAATTTTACTGGAAGACAGTAAGGCTTACACAAAAAAAAGATATTGTCCAAAATACAGCTACAGCTACTTAAATTTGTCTGCTGTTTGGAATGATGGTTTTTCATTAATTTATAAATATATGGGCATTCAAAAGTTAAGTTCAAATTAAAGTACTAATGCTAACAGTCACCTCAAGTGACAGCACTACACCAGCCCTCAGCACTGTGCAGTCAAGTGGTCAGGTGGTTTGAAGCACTATTGAATTATCCTGAAATATGTCCTGGTCTGTCAGCTGTCCCCTTGTGTTGAATTTGAAAATGCATCTGGTATCCTGGGCTTTGAGAAACCAGAATGAAAACACTGATAGCTGTTGGAATAACAGAACAAGGCATTAACTACTGATGTTTTTATTTAAACCAGTCCTGACATTCAGTTAATTGATTTTAAATTGGATACAATCTTCCTGTTTCATTTTACAAAGTAACATTCTAAGTCATAATTTTAAAACTAGCAAATTAATTCAGTAAAATGAGGATATATGAGGGGATGAGTGAGTGATATCTGTGTACACAAGCAGAATAGCTGTTTAGCACTTAAGATTTGATCAAATACGCAGTAAACCTCGCTGTGAAAATCTGTCAGACCTTGGCATTGCCAAACATGGTAAGCTTATGTATTTTTAATAGTCCTTAAACATAGAAAAATGCTATTCTTTCAGACAAACACCCTGCATAGCCATGAGTTTGGAGGAAGTTGTAGTTGTTTAAAACAGATTGGAAACGATATAGTCTGTATGAACACCATCTATCAGTCCAGCTCCATTGTTGTGAACAAACCAGCAAGGAATATCAACACCATGTCTAGGATCTGTTCTGTAATCCTTCTGCCAGCCCCTGGAAGGGAAAACACAATCATGGGAGCATTGAAGCAGAAACTGCACTACAACAAGGTAATCTTTGCTAAGGACTTAATTATTTTTTACCTTGTTACTATCAGCTCGTTGTTTTTAACAATCATTGTGGCATCTGGTTTCTTGGGATCAGATCCAGGATGAATTTCAAGGATGGTGAAGTCAATGGGGTGGAAAAACTGTCCTAAAAATAGAAGCCAAAATTACCACTTCTGGAATGCTGCACATATTAAAACAAACAAACAAAACAGAAATCCCAGAACTTCTACATTCCCATGCTGTTTTCCATGTCTCCTCAGGGTTTTCAATGGATATGCAAACACCAAGTTTGGTGTAAGGTTAAACATATACTATGGTATTATTTAGTTTTTATAAACCCGAATTCTGTGCACATGATCTGGATGTAAGGTCCAAGTTTTGAGTGCCCAGGAAGATTAACCTTTTCTAGATACCCTTCAAGATATCCACACTTTGTGTCTTGTCTGTTCAGTTGTATTTATTACATACTCTCAAATTCTTTAGTTTTTTAAAAACAAATAATGCACATGTTGATCTCTGACATTTTTTTATGTGATTATGCTCAGAACAAGGATGACATATAAGGAATTTTTTTACAATCCTGCCAGGATTAGCTTTCACACTTCCACTTTTGCCCTGCCAGGGTTGGTACAGGATAAAGCTGGTGCTTTGGGTGCTACAAAGCACAGATTTTAGATTACTTAGTGAATTACAGGGGCAAAGTCAGAGATGATGAGAGGGGCAATGAGATGTGTAAGTCAGTGACCTGTGTCACTCTGTACTCACAGGTCGTGGCATTTTGCAATTTTCTTGCTATTTGCAATTCATACCATAGCTGAACAACTTCTCTGTGAAGTCCTTTAGCCTGAGAAGACTGGAGCAGGAAACCATAAATAACATTCTATGCCTATTCTGCTCTCTTTCTGTTTGGTTGCAGCATTCTGCATGACACACAGACCTAAAGTGTACTGCCATGGATACCTCAAAGTACACAGTGAGACTGAGAAGTCTAAGTTCTCAGCAGTTCATTATTTTCCACAATGATTAAACTTATTGACTTAAAACAGATGTTTTCTGTCCTTACCTGATTTCCGAAGTGAAAACTGGAAGGGAAGAGAAAATGGCTGCTCTCTGTGCATTTTCCAACAGAGAATGCAGGCCACCAAACCCTCTGCACTGGCAGAAAATGGGATTCCATGGGATCAAAATTTTGATCCCTGAATTACCAACTTCGCCTTCTTCCAGAGTGAAAACTGATAGCTAACATGAGGAGAACCTTAGGCTCTACAAGGCATTCTGTGATTTTAATATATGCTACTAAATAAAAATACACCTTCACAACTTCTTTTCTTACAAGGATGCACTAATTGAGGTTTAGTAAATTTTGTCTGAGAAAACGTGTATTTTCTCAGAGTGCTTGTATTTGGGTGCTAAGATGAGAGATTAAGCCATCCAAGAGACTGAGAGAATAGTGTAGTAGGAAAAAAAAAATATCTGTAGATGGGATTTAGTAAGTTAAGGAGGCTTTAAAGATGCCAGTGAGGGCAATGGATGCTAGTGATTTCAGCAGCAGCAGAGGAATCTATAAAAAAAATTATGCATAAAGTCTGAATCCAGAGTATTTTATCAGAAATCTTAATAGAGTCAATCAATGTCACCTCAGTTCCCTCCATGATCTCAGTTCAGAAAGACCAGGCACAAGATTGTGTCTACAAATGACATAGCCTCATAAGGAAAGGCAAGCATGCAAACACCAAATGAAGTCATACCTAATAATCCATGGGTCTGCTCAGACAGCTTATCACTTTCCAATGTATACAGGCCTAGGAAGTCTTGGTGGAGAGGGTGTTTCTTCCATACTTGGTGCAGAACAATAACAAATGAGGCACCACTGTCCATTGTGAGCACCACATTTTTTTTTCTGTTAATTATCAAAGTAAAACTGAGGAAAAAATAAACATTTGACTTAGGGCATTGTGCTTCCCAGAGTTCAAAGCAATGAGAAGAAGCTTAAGAAGAAACATGTCCAACAAACAAACATGGCTTTACACATCGCTCAGTGTTCTTTAAAATAAAGGTTTTGCTGCCTAGTTTGATCCATATGAATCTCTGTGTGTTCACAGACAGCCCAAGACTCATGCTAAATGAAACTGTAAAAGGCCATCTTGCCTTTAAACTTTTCAGCAAGGTGTTTCTACCAAAACTCATCCTCTAAGAGTGTAATTAATCACAAATATGCTAGTAATTTGTACAGACAGCACCTCATGCTCAGTAATAAAAATGTTATTGACAAAACCACCACTTCCTAGCCTGGGTGCTGCCTGACACCTTTCCCTTCTGTTTTACAGAAAAGAGAACTTCTGAACTGACTAGGCTAGTGCCAGGATAAAGCAGATTTGCTTCAGAATGTGTTAGTGATGATATCAATGTGGCTGCCATAATAAAAGAATAATAAACATGCTGTGTGAATAACTTTTGCTCTGGTGCTCCTTTTCCTGCAGTGCCTTGAGAATGTAGTAATTTTGTTCCAGGTACACAGTGACAATGTAAATGAGGAGGAGAAGCTGCCCATTCCTTTTCTGAAGTTCGTTTTGCACAGGTATAAATTATTCTGTAATAGATTAATTTCATGAAAAACATACCTGCTGACAGGGCAAAAGGTACTTATTCTCTAAGTATCACAATTTCCGTTTCTTAAAATGGAGATTGTTGACAGCACATGATTATGTCTTTGTTTGAAAGAATATACTCTATGTCTGAACTTACCCTTTATGTATTTGTGAGATTCTGCAACTTTGAGCACAACACTAAATCTACTTTTACCCTAGTCATAGTAATAGAAAATAACGGGAAATTCTTTTCTTACTCAGAGGAATTTGAGTAATCATTGCAGTTATACAGCAAAGTAGAGGGCAGAATTGAGCAGAGACTTGGATTGGATTTTGTATATTCAGACAACAAATCTTAAAAGTGTGTTATTAATCAACACTATAAAATGTCTAGAAAGTAACAGAGGAGCCTGATACTCTTCCTGTAAGCCTTACCCTTCTTGTTGCAAGGTGACTGAGTCCAGCCAGGTGAAACTTGTTTTTTCCTTGCCATTCAGAATTGTGATCTCCTCAGGAGTTACTGTCAGTTTTAAATCCAGGTTCTTATTTGCAATGCCAAGTCTTCCAAAATATGTGTTTTGGATCTTTGCATCATTGTTTGGCCTCTTATCACCAATGAGTTCTCCATTGACTGTGATGCCTAATATAAAAAGGAAACATCAAGTATTGCTTAATGGATAGGACCTGATCAACTGATGTCAAGGAATGTCAAGGAAATTTAACAACTCAAGGAAACAAATTTGAGTTGAAAAATAGATTAGGATTACTTCTGCATGTTTGTGTCAAAGTAGAATAAAGCTCTGGGGGCTGTTCTGTGGATCTGCACAAAGACAAAAATTACTTTAGTCAGAAAAGTTTAATATTTCCTTGAGCACAAAGAGTCTGTGATGGGCACAAGTAGCCTGTGTGACATTGGTCTCTCTTCACGAGATATTCCAGGAATTGGCAACCTAAGGGTTACATTATTGCTTGTACTACTACTCACTGAGACAAATTATGTCTCTCAACTCTCTTTGTGATTTTTAAACAAAGCTTAAAAGTTCATTTTGCTCAAAAAACTTAAAACACAGTCATGGTAATGGTACCTTATCCCAGCTACCAGAACTCCTACTAACTTTGCTAGGAAAAAAGCTTATTCAGTATAAAAGAGGGAAATAGCCTTTAAACATAAGACATTTTGTTACATGTATCCTGATTTACTGCTTTTAAAAAAATATAAAAACTCACCTGTAACTGGGTCATTTATTAAATTTAACACAGCTCCTGGGTTTTCATTGATATTGAAACAAATGGCATCTTCTTTTTGTGGCACCGATATAATGAAGTGTGGATCTCCATCAACTGCAAAGGCCAATCATGGGTGTTTGTACAGAGGTTCAAAGCTCCATGTGAACACCTGCCATTTTGCCAATGGACCTGCTGATGCTGGCAACCAGCAGCAACTGTTCCCTGCACAAGCTGTGCATCCAGCTTAGTCCAACCCATCTTCCAAAGGAGAGGTGGAGTCCCACAGGAGCTGCTACCATCTCCCCAGAGTGAACTACATCCCTTTTCCCCCTCATCTTCCCAAGTTTTGTGACATGTATCCTGTGTCTCTTCACCACTGCAAAATTTGGCACATGGATTGTAGGTTCAGGGTGGGAACTTCTTAAGGGCTTATCTCTGAGGGCCATGAAAGTATTGCTGAGGGCAGGAAATGTTTGAAGAGGGAATAGACAGTTGCAAACACAAAGCCTAGCAATGGGAAGGAGGACTAAGAAAATCACCATATATAATCTCAGTGGCTTGATCTTTAAAAACCATTTAGAGATGTTTAAAGTAAATTAAAACACTAGCCCCTTGGAAATAATAAATGGCTGCTTTTGTGGAAGGGAATTATCTAAAAGATTCATAAGATTTGTGCAATTTAGTGTTAAATACCCTCTTCTGTTCTCCTTCCAAGCAGACACTACTAAAAATACTCACCACTAGTATACCAGATGGGGCTAGAAGCGGCGGTATATAGTAAAGCTGTAGTTGGAACAATTAAAGGAAAAAAAAATAAATTAGAAAAACTCACATAAAAATGGAATGTTTACACACTATCTGCACAGTACATGTAAGATATCAGGAAGTTAATATGCTAGGTAAATTACTAATTCCATCCTAGTTTTTAAAGCATATAGTCCATGGAATGACAGTTTGTGCACCTTTGAATGCAAGATTCAGGACAGAGACAGACTTCAATTGTAGTCTGAATTGCTTTGAGGGTTTCCACAAGCCCCAAGTAATGTATCTGTGAGACACAAGTGTCTCACTTAAGGACTAAGCTATCAGCAAGG